ATATTTCAGCGCTTGATAGCAATAGCACAGATATAAAAGTTATTTTGTCTTTGAAATAGGATTTAACGATAAGCCAGAGTGTGTATGAACAGAATTTTAGCAGAAAAGAGAAATTGATAGCCTTACTGTAACTCGCATTTGGTCATAAACTTACCTAAAAATAGAAAATTTGCTCCTTACTCAAGAATTGAAACTGGCTACCTCAGACTTACTCAAGAATTGAAACTGGCTACCTCAGACAACTTTTTGAGCTTGAAATTATGCGATAAAGAATTCGAGAAAGTATAGTTCGGAAAGATGAGAACATTTCCAATTTTCCAAACTATACCACGAACATTTTTTTCCTGGTGAGCGTTACAGATGCTAAAACTACAGCAGCAATAAAACTCGCTGAACAATCGCAAAACTTTCGGCACAACAATTGAATGGAAGCAATCGCAACGCTGGCTAGTCGCACACATCCAGAAAACTGGCAACAACGCATGCAAATGCCAATTAACATAGTTGCGCAACGTTTACGGTTAGCGCAGATCCGGCTTCGTTGCGGGAGACGCACAAAGAATGCTGTGAAAATAGTAAATTATTCACAGGAGGAAAGCTAGAAAGCATAACTATACACATTCTCTGGCTCAAATACAAGTCACCTCCACTAATAAGAATAGCAAGTCTGCTTGTGACTCTAGGTTGGCCTTGAAAGTGCCGTAATTTCTCTCAAAATCGTTGGAGCACGTCTTTGTTGCCAAAAAAAGCGAATGTTACAAAAGAACAAAGTTGTCACACACTACCTTACATTATGGAACAGTGACGGCGGCAGGAGCAGAATGGAAGGATGCAGACATTACTCCGTAAATAGTCACAAATCCCGACACCCTGTGCTCTTCAAAATTTTATTACGAAACCTCATAAAGGAGTTGTGTGACTCTGCTAATATCTGACAAACTAACAAAAAGCTGTAAATAATGACACCATTTATCTCAGTTTATTTAGCAAATTTACCGCCTACGCCACTTCCAATAATTTTGAGTCGTTCTTCCCATTACTGCTGTACTTTTCACTTACAGTCTATTCTACCTCAACTCAAGGCTTTATTTCCCACGCCCACGAACTTCATACCAGTAGAGCGCAATGAAATACCCTTTTTTTATCTTTTCAAAAAAATTCAAAAAACAGTAACTCTTAGGAACATCCTGTCAGACTTTTCGCGAACTAATATTGTAAAGTCGTGATTCCGTGGATGCGTCTCCTATCTTCATTTTGATTAAAAGGTTTTTAGGCAAAAGGCAACATAATAATACAGCAACAAAAAGATATTCACAAAATTATACCAATAACGGCCGCTTAGGGTCAACAAAAATTCTCCTTAAACTTCAAAATTTATTCAAAGTCGATCAGACATAAAGGCAGCGGCAACTGTGGGATATTTATCGTTCTCGGTTCTCCTGGTGAGCTAAGTCCAAGATTGTGCTTTGCAGCTTCAAAAGATATCAGTTACCCCTCTTCCAGACGTGAAAAGCGCTATTTGAGGGCGGATACGCGGTCCGCCCTCAAATACCGCTTTTCACGTCTGGAAGAGGGGTTATTGATATCTTTTGAAGCTGCAAAGCACAGTCTTGAACTTAGCTCATCCAGAAGAACCGGGAACGATAAATATGACAAAGTTGTCATTCTGCCGAGCCGCTGCCTATAAGAATGTATTTACTATTAGGGTGATCCAAAAATAATGGGGCAGCTAGAGAATAAATGCAGTTTTCTCAAATAGAAAAGCTAATCGGAAGTTCAAGTTTTGGCAGATGTTAGTACATAACAAAACCTTCTGATCGAGGTCTATAGTTGGGCACTGTCACATGGCGTTATTTTTATAAGCGCTTGAAATCAAAGCTCACCACTTCAAGTAATTTTGAACTTTGAGCAGCAGCGCCGCAGTAAAACAAGTGAGCCTACCAAAGATATGTGCGCAGCAATGATGAGGGGACTGTCACCAAATCCACAATAGCTCGGTGGTCCCAAGGCTTTAGAACAGAAGATATAGCATTGGGTATCAGAAGACATATTACTTATTCTTTCATCAAGGTAATCAGATAAGCCCAAACTTAGCAGTTGCTTTCTGATAGTGCTTTTTACGCTCTATCCATACATATGCAGATTACTTTTTACGCTCTATCCATACATATGCAGATTACTTCGACTTTTCTCATTTTCAAAAGATTGCGGTCCAAAACACGAATTTTAGTCTGAAAATCTGCGCCAAACACCGCACTTTTTCGAATAAAGTGCCTTTTTTGTATAAAATAATGGGCAATTTTTGGATATGCAAGCAATCATTAGAAAGAGTTTGGAAAGCTCTTTCGAATGGTATGCCATATGTCGAGGGACTATCAGGTGCGGCAGCCCAAATTCGGATGGCGTTCAAAAAAGTCTGTCTGACTTCTTTGAAGCGCCACTCGAAGAAATGTCGGTGAGGTGCTGCAGGATGCTGTCAAGATAACCTGCAAAGATCACTTTATACAAAGGCGTTAAAAATGCTGGGCGTTTATAACTAAATAGAACGAAATCTTGGAGAATGTTTAAAAAAATCTAGGTACCCCATTACTTTTGGATCACCCTAATAGAATGACGTAACTCTCTGATCTGATTGGTGAAAAGGAACAAGCTTTCAAGTGATAACAATAACTGAAGCGTTCTCGTTGTGACTGCGCTTTTTTTTTTTCGCAGCGAAAATTTGAAATCTTTTACGGGAGGGGTCTGACCGAATCACTGCTAGCCTTAGTTTTGCACATTCTATTTACATAGCCTGCGGGTTAACTAGTTATCACAATGCCTCACTGCAAACACCATCTTGGACAAGCCACCATTGCTTCAAATACTTTTCCTAATTTTGGTTACTGGTTCCGACATTCATTCTGCTGCAACTTTTCCAGTTTTTTCAAGATAGATTTTTGAGTGTTTGCTATATGCGTGTGATTGAAACAGTGCTATATGTACAATCAAGTATAATGTATATCATATATTAGGTTGGTACGAAAGTTCGTTCGCACCATTTTCAAAAAATCATAACTTCTTTCTGTCACAACAATTTTGCACAATTCAAATTTCGTTAGAAAGCGTAAAGCATTTAGTTTCTAATAGTCGCCAGATGACTTTCCAATATGCTCAGGTTGCAAAGATAAAAATGAAAGAACAGGATCATTCGAAATTCGGAATTTTTGAGCAAAAATTCCAAAAATCTAGGAATTGTGCGATAAAATCCAGAATGGCCATCATCTTAAGTTTTCTTATATTTTATCAATAACTGAGTCAAGTTTGCACTGGTCGAGCTCTTCTTCCAAAAGTTATGATTTTTTGAAAGAAAATACCAAAAAATCAGTTTCCTAAGAACTCCTAAGAAATTGATTTTTCGGCATTTTTTTTTAAATTCGTAACTTTTGAAAGAAGACCCTCAATCAGCATAAACTTGACTCAGTTACTCATAGAGTATAAGAAAACTTAATATGATGGCTATTCTGGATTTTATCGCACAATGCCTAGATTTTTAGAATTTTTGCTCAAAAATTCCGAATTTCGAATGATCTCGTTCTTTCATTTTTATCTCTGCAACCTGAGCATGCTGGAAATTTCCCAGGAGACTTTTGGAAGCTACATGCTTTACGCTTTCTAACGAAATTTGAATTGTACAAAATTGTTGTGACAGAAAGAAGTTATGATTTTTTGAACATGGTGCGAACGAACTTTCGGACCAACCTAATACTTTTGCTCGCCAGTGCAGTTCAAAGACGACAAATGCTTAAAATGATAAAAGAATCAAATTAGAAGCATTGGCTCTTCTGAATCATAATAATAATCAGCAGTTTTTTGGCATGGATATGTTCTTTTTTTTGAATACTGAAATTATTAAGTCGTCCCAAAAGTAATTTCGCTTTTTTTGAACAAGCGCCACGTCCGCAGAACAAAGGTATACAGGAGCTCTTGGTAGCATTTGATACAGTTTTTCATGCTCTTTCTGATGGTTATCTCTATAATGCAGATGATGCAACGAGCTCTCAGAAAATTGCTACAAACTGCAACTCATGCTTTTTACCAAGGTCAGGTTCAGCTATCTTTTTAAATTCTTGTACTAATTTCCCGAAGAAGTCCAAGTGATCTGTCGATAGAGCAAACAAAGTAGGATGCAATACAATTTTTGTCCGTTCCATAGCTTACTTTGAAAATTTTTTAGAATTAGTTTTTCGATGCTATCAAATTCCATATTTGGTTAACTTAAACCTCATAGAACAACAGCCGGCGAACAGCTCGGGTGTTATTCGGCGCAGCACTTTATCCTCTTTCTTGAACATGTTTTTTGTCCCTGATTCGAGAAGTCTTGGAGGATAAAATCGACAAAATTCGTGTTTTTCAAGAAACCCCAGGCTGTACGCGACAAATCAGAAAATCGATATTTCGAACCCCGGAACGCTCAATTGTTTCGTAAAATTAGTGCTAAATCCTAATTCACTTTAAAAGTATCAAAAATCGAGAGTTTAGTAGTTTGACGAGTCTTCGTCTGATATGGAACTTCTAAAATTCGACGGTGTTGTTCAAAATTCTGTCAAAAAGTTATGGGGAGCCCTGAGAAGGAGATTGAAACTGTTTTGTATCCTACTTTCTTTGCTCTATCTGCTGGTTACTTGGACTTCTTCGGGGGATCAGTATAAGAATTTAGAAAAATAGTGGAACTTGACCTTGGTAAAAAGCATGGGTCGCAGTTTATCGCAATTTTCTGATAGCACATTGTTTCAACTGCTAAATAAAGATGACCACTTGAAAGAGAATAAAAAACTGCATCGAATTCTAAGAAGAGCTGTTAACCTTTGTTCTGCGGATTGTAGCGCTTGTTCAAAAAAAGCGAAAATACTTTTGGGACGACCTAATATTTCGCCACAAGCAATGAATGAAACTGTATGCGTGCTTTTCCGCAGGGACTTTTTTCGCTGTTTATGTCGGAGTCAATATTTATATCAAAAATTCGCAGATTAATGATGACCTACAACAAGTAAAAAGGTTCGCTAAAGAACAAAACGATTGCATGATATCTCCATAACGTCAAAACATCGAACCTACATAACAAACATATTGTAACGATTTGAAGAAGTTTGATCAACGTCAGAGTATGCTAGCGGAATTCAGGCACAAATTATAGAATGGGAGAGCACAATAACTTGATATATACATGTTCAAGTAAACTATCAATACCTAAGCTTAGAAATAAAACAGATACACAACACTCACGAACTACTGCATCTAAATCAAGTTGTGGTTCCACCGCCATTTACCGGTCATATACTTGGGTGCTTGTAACAATGAAGTGCACGGATGCTGTCCTTGTACTTCGCACATGCACTGAAGAAGATATTTCTCAATAACTCTATGACTCAGAAAGTACGCTAAGACTACAAATGACTGAATGAAGCTGCAAGGTTCCTTACCTGTCGTTTACACTTTGAACCGAAGTCGGCAGGATTCAACTTGGCAATTTCCATTAGTTCTTCTCTTTTTGCCACTAATTCTGTCTTTCCTAATGTAGCCGCAATTCGTGATTCGATTTCACCACGAGTCATACCTTCGAGATCAAATAGAACTTCCCTGCCATCTTCTAAACAACAAAAACATCTCATCAGCCATGAAAACGAATCAGAGAATATTCTGAGCAGTAGTTTAGAAGATGCCACTCACTCAGATATGCTCGTGCAAAAGGAGTGATGACCATGTCGATGTGCTTCACGAGCTGTACGCGAGGATTTTTGTATTGCAGTTGCGCCCAATGCCAAAATACAAAATCTCGAGCACCTTGCTGCTGTTCGTTGGGTATTCGATGGAATCCCATAGCAAAAACCTAAACTGCCGATTTGAGACCATTGAAAGATGCAACGGAAGCAGAATTCCAAAAAATTAGGCGTTGTTACCTGCACATCGTCTCGAAACTTGATCTTCCCTTGCAGCAAATAGTAGAAGGTCCGCCGAAGCGGCATCGTGCCATGCATGAACGGCATGGTTGCTGAAAACCTCTGTTGGTGCTACTTGATATCATCAATGAAATTTCTAAGTTCATGGACGGATACGCACAGAACTGAATAGCAGTGAAACGAAAAAAAGGACAGGCTCCCGAAACAATTTATTCCGATGAGCAAACGCACACAATTACAAAAATAGTCGTCAATGCATAGAACATTCTTCTTTCGTGGAGACAATTGATCTATTAAATCAACAAAAAAGGCAACAAAACAATAGGAGCATGGTCACAGCATTCTCTAAAATATTAAATTCATTCACACACTTATTTGAGATGATATCCAAGGTCTCAAACAACGGTTTCCATTCTCTTGAACCACAGTTCGACATTGTTTGGTAAAGGTGATGACCCGCTTAGGACAGACCTACAACGTGGTTGCATACAGTGATCTTCCAAGAATAAATGAACAAACGAGAGGAAGGGGATGACCGAAACTCACTTAGCTACTAGGTCAGCAACTCCAAAACGGAAATGCGAGCCAAAAGCGTCAAATTGCGACAAGAACTTGCTTGCCTCACGGATAGCCTCATTTTTGTCTAGCTTACCGGCCAATATCGAATCAACCTGAATCAAAAATAACTCATTAACGAATTTCAGAATATGCATGACAAACTAGGTAGAAAGAAGTGGAAATATTACAACTCACTTTAGAAAGCCATCTGTGCTGATGTATGGCATGCAGTGAATATTCGGGTTTGAACGAAAATAAGCCCAATGCAGAGCCTAACAGCTTCCAAGCAGAGATGCGGCATGTCAAGGTGGTCCCACCACCCTCGAGAAGGAATTTGTCTGTAAGTAAAGAAGTACACAAAACTTAATCCTAGGAAGTGAGCTGGAAGTGAAAAAAAATTGACTACCTCCAAGGGAGACATTGACAGTTGTAGAGGCATTTGAAGAAGCGTTGGATATTTGACCTTTAAATGCCACATTTCTTCTCTCGCCTACGTGGGACAGAACCTCTAACCATGGCCTATCCAACTCAGTGGCAGTGATGGAGACTTCTCCCAGTTCTAAAAAGAGGTCACAAATGTACATAGGAAAAAATGTCAATGATGTAGCAATAAGCAAACTGTGAACAGGAACGAAAAACACTATAAAGCTTAAAAACGTACTTTCAATAGGGAATTCTGTAAGCGCAGATGGTAAACAAGCAGTCAAAGACTGCCCTGTTATAGTTGCTCGTTCCTCTTCCTGGAACATTCATCTCATAAAAATTTATATGAGCGATAACTCACATGAAGAATCCACGGTTTCGCTGACTCCTTGTCTACAGCTTTCCCCGCAGGGGCATCAGATGCTAGCTGAACATGAAGATATGGTTTCAAACGTATGAACCAGCGAGAAAAGGGCATACTTTACTCTTTGCCTCCATTTTTGCAGCTTTTCGTGCCTCCTTTTTCGCATCTTTATCCTTCTTACTGCTTGGTTTTGCTGTTTCCGGGGGAGACGCAGATTTCTCCACTTTGCTCTTCTTCGAAGAACTAGGTTCAGCACCTGAAAACTTGTAGATGTACTGCTTACTACAGTATCGGAGAATGCGCCCTAATTTTGGACTATTTTAACACTTCTTTCGCCATGTTAGTCTTGAAAAAAACTGCATACACATTACAAGACTATGACGCCTATATGACTGGATTTACTAACAGGCAATAAGCAGCGATGTGAGGCCTCAAAGCTATCGAAACTGACCACATTTTCCCATCTCTTGCAGCAAAGCCTCCAACGTTGATCCCAGGTCTTTGATCGATTTTATGAGATTTTGCTGTTTCTTTTCAATCATTTTCACAGGATCGTTTAGATCCTCAGTGACACCATTGCACTCAGCACTTGATTCCTAAAATGTTTTTTGTTGGTGGATGCAAGCGACAGAAGAAAATTTACCATTTTAGAGGTGTTATGATAACTGGGTATAGAGTACATTATGTCTAAAGGTTTGACATCGAAACCTTCCGGCATCACTGGAGGAATCTTATACATCGACGACATTTTTACCCTGGAAAACAGCAGCTAAAGTCTGCAAACATATACAAACCCGGAAAATCTCTACTCAGATCACAATCGTAAGGTGAATTCTACTTTGATTATTTTTAGATTCTCCGTTCTTTTCAGAAAAAGAAAATGGAGCATATCGGTGTTTTTGTTCCATCGAAGGAGATTCTATTATTAGTATGAAATTTCATGGATGTGTAGAGGAAATGCGACTCTCTACAAGGAATTTCAACAGATTTTTTAAGATCCCGAACCCGAAAATTTCTCGACTAAACAAGGCAATGAATTCAGATTAGAAACAGGATTCCAAGAGCTACAGCATGCCCAACCAAAAAGCTTTACAAAATTACAACGGCAAAAGCTGACGTCGGATTGCTTGCATATGTGCAGTACACATTCAATCAATTTTCACACGGCTGGCTTGAAAGGGCAAAAAACTCGATAACCTTGAAGTTCTGCGGTGGTTTCTACTGAGGTTACTAGGAGACAGATCATGTGACATTTTTGTGGCCACAGCTAAAACAGTCGAATTCTGTTCTTAGACTCTATCCGACATTTGTTTGTTGCACTTTTGGGATATATATCCTTCGCACTGATAGAGGGAACAGTTTGCGTTTTGTCTGTTCTAATTACTTTTTTGCTTTTCTTCCAATTCACTTGTCGATTTATAGACGGTTTAGTGCGATCTCGGGCTCAGCGATGCTTTCAAGCCGCAGCATTGCATCGTCGGTGAGAGCGCTCTCTACTTCAACACATGGATCAACGTATGCATTTTGCTTTGTTTTGGTTGTGCAATAAATAAACCGCTTTCCTGCTTCAGTGGATTATGTGGTCCAGCGGTGAAGTTGCTAATGCTGCAATATGGAATCAATGAGAAAGATGTGAAAGCAACTGGCCCGAAGAAGAACATCTTGAAAGGGTTGGTACTGTGAATCATCTTAGATCTTCAGTCTATGTATGCGGTGCGTTTAAGAGGTTTTCCAAAAGTTCTGCGGGTTTTTGTCATCGTTGTCCATCAGATAGTAGGTGTCGAAAACTCGCGATGAAAATGCAAATCAGATAGATGACTTGTCAGTTTTTTATGACATATAACAGACGTAAGGTGACAGTACCAAACGACCCTTTCACTTTAGAAGACTAACAAATATTCTTCATAGGAGAAAAGCTGCATCAACTTTGTTTGGATTTCCAAAGTTTCAGTTTACAGTCAATTGAATGAATTTAGTGATGTCATGGGCGTAATCAAAGCCGGTAATCTCAAGCCCGTTGTCTTCAAAGTGAGTCCACCCCCGCAACCCGCTCCTTCGGCTGCTAAAACCCAAAAGGTGCGATTATCTTTATCTTGCATTTTAAGGGGTTTTTAAGGTTATATACACAAGTATAGTTTTGTATCTAGGCTGCCGCTCCTACGGGTCCTGTCGGGTCTGTCCGGCATGTCGATCCTTTTGTTGATATTCCTCTCTCTAATGTACGTGCTACAATTGCAAAAAGGCTGACTCAGTCCAAGGTACGTTGCCTTGATTTTTTTTCTTTTGTGGATTAGGTCGTAAGATGACCGCTCTTCTTTTCTGACAAACGCTTTGGGTCACCGTCTTGAAGTCGTCGTTATCGTCGTTTTTCTCATTTCTGGTTTTGTTTTTGCTTCGGTGTCCATCTAGATCTATACAATTCTAGCAATCAATCCCTCATGAGTACCAGTCTGCCGACATCCGCGCAGATGCAATCCTCGCTATACAAGCAGATCTACGCGCAAAAGATGTGGCTGTCTCAATCAATGACTTCCTCATCAAGGCCGCTGCACTTGCGCTTCGGGTAAAATTATCATGTTTTCCCCTTCTCTTGTTTCACTTCTTCTTGGCCCGGTTCTGTTTTCATCCTTGATCTACCATAGGCTGTTCCTGAGGTGAATGTGCGCTATTCAAATGAACAAGTACAATATATGCCGACGGTTGATATCTCTGTTGCTGTTGCCACTCCTAACGGACTTATCACTCCCATAGTCTTTTCGGCCGACATTATGGGGGTACAGGACATATCGGCTAGAGTTAGGGTGAGTATTATTATGCAGAAGTTTGGTATGGTAGTGTCTTTGTAATTTCTTAAATCATCTCATGCTAATTTTTTGGAGCCACTTTACTTATGGATATGTACTCTTCAGTTGTCATAGTGTTGTCTTTCAGGAACTGGCTGCGCGAGCACGCGAGAACAAGCTTCAGCCCCAGGAATTTCAGGGTGGCACTTTCACGTGAGAATTTTGAAGTTTACTTCTTGCAGAATTTCGTCCGTTAAATTATATCTTTCAGTATTTCAAACTTGGGCATGTTTGGTAGCGTAGAGGCATTTACTGCCATCATTAACCCGCCACAAGCTGCTATTCTTGCCGTTGGTGGAACGCGCACTGAGATGGACAACGATATGAAACCACAGAGCAAGTGAGTCGAACTTTTGTCTGGGTTCTGCAATTGTTTGGCAAAAACTTTTTCTTCAATCATCTCTTTTTTCAAACTGCTTCGCTTTCTTTCCGTTTATGCAAAATTGACATAAGTGCTATTTTTTTCGCATATGGAATCTTTCCTTTATACAAGTTTGTTCGAAAAATTCACTTGCTACATTCGAGACCCTTTCTTCGTTCTTACAGTCACTTCATTTCATATGATCATGTGTGCCATTGCACACACAGTGCGTCCTCATCCTGGATTTGCAATCGCAAAAACGCAAGAGACTTACCGATTGTTATTGATTACATCAATTTGAGGTGACTAGTAACTAAAAACGAAAGAAAATGCTAAGAACACCTTGGAAACACTTACCTGAAGGCTTGTTTCTCCCACGAATCCAGGATGGGGACGCCAAAGGTGAACTGTGTGTGCAATGATACACATGATCATATGAAATAAAGCGACTGTAGGTATGTTTACGAACTTTGGTTAGTAGCTTGACGTTTGCTTGGTGCAATTAGTTTATCATAATTTACAGCGTTCACTTTTTTGAGTATGCGCACGAGGTCTCTTTACTTGCTGGCTCTTGCAACCATCCCTGATGCTAATCTTTGCCATGACGCTGTGTTTCATTGATTTGAGACGGTGTTTGAAACCATAGTTTTCTCGGTGCTTGAAACTTATAATGATGTCTTCTCTTTTTCCCAAATTGTTTTTGTTATAGATTCACTGCTACCTTATGCTTTGATGCTCGAGCTATTACTGAAACGTCGGCGAAACGTTTTCTGGACCACTTTGCTGCATCTCTCTCTGATCCCGATTTCATGGTTGCTGAGCCAATCGATCCCGCATTGAATTTTGACTTTGCAAGACTGCTTTGAGCACTTTCCATCAATGAATTGCAGTTTGTTGTTTAATTCATAGTGATTTATCGGTGGTTGCTTTGACCGACATGAGCTTTATGAAGCAGTAGATGGATTCATATCTTCGTGTCCGTAGAAATTGTAAATATGTAGTTAGTCATAGTTTTAGAGTAGTAGATTTCTCATCTTGATTTGGTGATACCAGTGAAATTCATGAATAAACATGCATTGTCTATCTTGCACATCATTGATCGGAACAGTAGAATGCTTCGCAACAGCTATTTTGTTTCGTGTTTATTTCTCCTTCTAATTGCTTACTTATTCATAATAGGACTGCTTATCCAGTCCATCATGTTTACTGCGACTACCGTTATTCGTCAAGTTAGAACTACAGTCCCATTAGGGCTTCGAATAACCTCTGCGCGTTCCAAACATTTTCTAGCTAATGTACCGTTAAAGAAGCGAGGGGCTGACAATGTATCTTCCGACGAATTGAAAGGAAAGGTAAAACCGTTGATATGTGAATTACTGATCGCAGCCTTATATCGATATCGAACTTGCAGATGATATTGCTTTACTTCTCTGCGGGATGGTGCCGGTCGTGTAAAATGTTCACACCTAAGCTCAAGGTCTGTATTGTCAATTGTTGATTACAATTGCTGCTCTTTGTTTAGAAGTTTTATGAAGAACTAGACGAAGAGAAGCGCAAAGATATTGATGTGGTTTGGATTTCTCGGGACAAGGAAGCTCCTGATCAGTTAGAATACTACGAGAAAGCCATGCCGGCCTGGTACTACATCCCATTTGGAGATCAGAACATTCAGTAAGTCTCAAAATAAAAGTTGAGGCTTCATGAAATCGTGAAATTGCGACCGCGTACACCTTTTGGCAACCGCATTTTCTTGATTTCCATCTCCATACAAATGTTTTTCGCATGCGTATGATAGCTTTTGTTTCCGGCAGTAATTAAGCTGAGCATTAAAATGTTGCCTTTTGTCTGAGCATTTTACATTCTTGTGTCGTTCGGATGGGCGCAAAGACTACAGCCGAAGTTGTCTTCACCATTTCATGAATGCTCTGTACTGCCAGTGGAGAATTTATATTTACTAAAAGCAACTACGATGACTTTGTTTTGCAAAGTTTGGGTTAGAGTTCTTCCTCAACTTCTTCATTCGCCGATTTCTGTATATTTCTCTCAGTAAAAAACAAATAGTAATAGAATTCAAACTGAGCATTCCTTGCTTACTTGCTAGATGAATATGAACATTTGCTTGAAAGACTTTCTTGATGGAGCTTGAAATTACCGCCTCTGCTTTGTTTTTGTTTTTCTCAGCGTGCCCAACGAACGTCTTTCAGAGGCTTCGTGGAAAAGTACGGCGTTAAAGTTATCCCCGCTTTAAAGCTAGTAAACGATAACGGAGAAGTGCTGGATGATAGAGTTCGCTCAGATGTTGAGGCAAGTCTGAACCTATCACTATGCTCGCAGTTTCACTCTCATTAATTTGATGTATAGGGATGCTCGAAGGGGGATGCGTCCAAGTGCTACGATAAATGGAAAAAGGAGTTTTAACCAGCTCGCTATGTTTGCGTTTATAGGATTATATAAAGCATTGTAGATTAGAAGTGACTGAAGAGTTTCACACAATTGTAGCAAGTTGATACACTTCCAACTTTGACATCATACTCCTTACTGATTGCGTTTCAAAAATCATTCTCTATTGAAGAATAACTTGTCGATAAGATATTTCCGATTTTGCTAGATAAACATATCAGATAACTGTGTAAAGTGAACATGGCTGTACCATCACATACAAAAAATCACTCCTTTACTGTGGAAAATAAGAAATTTGATGAGTAATAGAATTATAAGGTATGAAAAAGGTATGAGGTAAGAAAAATATCCATTAATGCAGCTAATTACATGAATTCGCGCTAAATACAAGAGGCAGTGCATAAATTTCAGCAACCGAGAAATGGATTGATTTAGACGTGGTGCTTCAGTTCAGCACTAGTTCACCACGATAATTACCAGCAGGAACTTTGGATGTGTCTACCTGAAATTGAGGGATTGTTATAAGAATTTAAGGCGTAAGTTTCAGCTTTTCTGACTGTTAAGTGAATGTGTCACTCACATCATCAAAGTATCGGTGATGTAGCGCCCTACGTGAAGAGATTCTCTTGGATGGATCATAAATGAGCATAGCCTATAATGTCATTAATCAAAAAAGGCTGTCGATATTATATAAAATAGTACACATTTGAAGGAGTACAAAACTTCATCACAAAAGTTTTAAGCTGGTTACCTGAAGTAGATCAATCGCATCGGGGTCCATGAAGCTGGCCACTTTTTCGGTCAACGAGTTACCCCTCCATTTTGGGAAAGTTGGTTTGTAATCAGGCAGTTGACTAACTCCAGGCCATTCTGCTTCAGTCGGTGTCCCCAAAATCCTAAAATTAAGTTTTAAAGTTTTACTTGAAAAGTTAAGAAACGTTCAAACCTGAAAAGGCGGAAGAGCTCGTCGATTTCTGAGTCACCCTGGAACAGCGGCTTTTTGGTAGCCATCTCTGCGAAGATGCAACCAATTGACCACATATCCACACCCATTGAATAGCGCTGAGTTCCAAGGAGAATTTCCGGAGCACGATACCAGAGCGTTACAACCTTGTGAGAGAGAAATTACAAGTCGATAAATCTTATAAGTGGTATGACATTCGCTTTGATAACAAAAAATCATCAAAGATTAGCCACAGGTTCTTCACTTATTGCAGTTATGTATGATAGAATCAATCACCTCATGTGTGTACACCCTAACTGGAATTCCTATTGCCCTTGCCAGTCCAAAATCAGCCAGCTTTATCGCTCCTTTTCCGTCCACCAAGAGATTTTGTGGTTTCAAATCACGATGGATAACACGACGCTGGTGAGCGAAGCAGATTGCTTGACAGATCTAAAAAGATTTTGGATTCACAAAAATAAGAGACGAAGGAGGAGAACGTAATTTGTGACAAAACCTGGAACATGTAGCTTTTACATTCGGCAGGTGGGAGACGTTTATCAGCGGGAAGCTGATCGAGATATCTTTTGAGATCCATCGACAGAAACTCAAATATGAGGTAGAGTCGATTTTCCTTAAAAAAAAACTAATCTGAGGTTTGAGTTAGACTTCACGCCGATTCCGAAGATGGTACGATCTGCTATGTTTTGTTTCCGCTACGGCGCTATAAACAAATCCTATGCTGTAATAGAAACATCCTTGTTTGGGTGTAACAAGCTTTAGACTTTTCCTCAAAAACTATCGCTATTCCAAATTGTTCCGAAATGTAAATTAGACTCTCTTTGGGAAAAAGATACCTGCATGATGACGTCTTCGAGTCCCACAACATTTGGGTGTTTGAGTTCTCTCAGAAGAGATATCTCTCGGATCGCGGTTGATGGTACTCCCTAAGAAAATATTTTTCTTTGGTTTTTGTACGAATATCAAGAAGATTAGGTATACCTCATCTTCGCCTTCCAGACGAATTTTTTTCATGGCCACAAGTTTGTTGGTCTTCTTATGTTTGCCTTTGTAGACAACTCCATAGGTGCCTAAGATGTAAAATTAGCAAAAACCAATGATCAGAGACGTCGAACTATTTACCTTCACCAATTTTGTCCAGCTTCACAAATTCATCCAAAGAATAGTGTTCACCAGGTGGAGGAGGCATACTGAACCTGAAAGTAATGTAGTCTCATCTATAGCTGAAACAGAAGGCAGAGGATGCTGGCTGATAAAACAAGGAGAATAATTGTAAAATCAGGGGGAATGGTAGATGTGTTTAAACCGAAGTGTTCTACGAGATTTCATTTTTATCATAAATTTATTGCAATCCTTTAGATCACTGAGAAACTCTAAAGTTTACAAGGATTTCTTTGAACTACTAGATTAGCAAGAAAATGTCTACGAGATTAAGTAAGGTAAATCAAGTTCCTATGTGTACTGATACAGATTGTCATTCTAGGCAAACTACTCTTTGTCCTATTCCCTTGTTTCCCCTAGGAAAAAGAATTCAAATAGATTTCCAAACAATAAGGAAATAATCTACCCTATGTTACGAACACGCAAGAGCCACAAATTAAAAGACTCTGGTGTGAGATCACCAATCCTCCTAACTTTCATTACTTATTAAGTGGAAGAAAACCTACAGAAAAGGTTTGGATGGAAAACTATGGGAAAGTATGAAGGAACCAACTTGGAAACAGCTAGAACATGTAACAAGAGCGCATTCTCATTTTTCAAATATTTTCTTTACCGCCAGATCAGACGAAAAACATTCTACACAGGACCCGTGGAAGGCGTCGAAGTCCTTTATTATAATTTACCCGGTTTTTTTTCTTCTTTTGCAACAGAAAATCTTACAGATCGACTTTTGCATTAGCAAAGCTAGACAAAAGCATTATTAGAGATGGTAAGAAGTGGGTAAAGCCATTGAAGGATTACGGAAGAGTGGCGTTCTTCGAGAAAGAGAGATTTATTTGGTTTCTGGATAAGCTGTATTTGCTGTAAAGAAATGAGAATGGGAAAACACATCTTATTCAGAAAATATGCTTTTAATGAAAAGCTCAGCGAGTAAAATTTGGCTTTCGAAATTTCCGCGTCGAAATGCGTAGCGCGAAACGCCGTTATTTGAACGAGCGCTCGCGTCATCGGTGGACCTCAGCCTTTCTCTCTCACCCATCTTAGTTTATCAGGTTTTTTTGTGCCTTTTATTGTTTCTAAGACTTCTTACTATTCTTAGCGTCATTATTGTGGATCCGTACCATCTGCAGTGCAACTTCTCATTGTTTTATCAAATTTCACTCAATTTCTTGTTATCTGCTATTTGTCGTAATCATTTCTGCTGTTTTTAGATCTTAATCGTGCATCATTTGTGTTCTAATGGTCTTCTACTATTGAACACTAGAAAATGGACCACGAAATGGAAGCAAGTTCGTCTGCTCGTGACGATCCGTTCCGTTCCCCATCAATGCAGCCAAATTTCTATGACACACGTGAATCTCCTCTTTCTACAAAGAGAGAAAAGGTTTTTTTGTTTATCTTTTCTACTAATCTTTGACTTTTCATATTCTGTCACTGATTTAGTTACGAAGGAATCTGGGTAGAACCCCATGTTCTTATGTACCAAGGGCCGTGAAAACCGCACCGCCGTTGAGTCGTATCTATCCGAGGAGATTTGCATTGCAAACACCACATCAAGTGTCGTTCAGAAATATTCCACCCGACAATAGTTCGTTTTTTAGTTTATTTCATTCATTTGTTTGGTCAGTTTTCAATATCTTAATCGTTTTTATTTTAGTTGTCGCCCACAGTCCGTTATACAACCCTCACGTAAACACGCCTTATTTTGAACAGTGTTATACTATAGAGAGAAAACTTGGACAGGGATCGTTCGGAGAAGTATGTTTGGTGATGAAAATACACAGTTTTAGCTAGAAATTACCTCAGTTAGCTGCGCTTTCAAATTATCCATTTTAGGCTTACGCAGTTTTTTGTAAGGAAGATGGTCGCCGATATGCGGTAAAACGTGCTTTGGATGCATTTCGAAGTTCCGCGGATCGCAGCCTCAAGTTACGCGAAGTGCAAAAGCATGAACTCCTACCATCTCATATCAATCTTGTGCAGTTTTGCAAAGCTTGGGAGGAGAAGTGAGTTGCTAATTCCGTTTTTTTCGGTAACCTCAATGTTATGCTTTAGCGGTCGCTTGTACATATTGACTGAATTATGCGAGAGGAGTTTGCTAGATTACTGCTCCCAAATCCATACGGTTCCGGAAAAAGAAATATGGAACATCTTTATTGATGTCCTTAGGGTAAAAATTAGCTTCTTTTCTTTCTTTCTTCCTTTGAGATGGAAATCTGAGGGGGCATTGCAGGCTGTCGATCACCTTCACCGTCACGATCTCCTTCATGTCGACATCAAGCCGGAGAACATTTTTCTCACTAAGGATAAAGTGTGCAAGCTAGGCGATTTCGGGCTTATATTCGATCTGAAAAATGTACGTTATCGGTTTTTTTCTTCGTTTCGAGATTATCACAAAATTTTTGTAAATCTAATTTCAAATTTTCTTCATCAAATTGGTTGGAAAGATTGGAAAAAGAGCGCTTTGCTAGCGCTTTCTTCGAAAAAAGAAATTAGTTGAGCGATTACCACAAATTTAAATCAGTCAGGGGCTAACAATGGCTCTTTGCAATTTGTCTTGTGCAGAGTTTTTTTATAAATCTTATGTAATTTTAGACTCGTGTATCATTTTGATGGAAAATACTGTCAACACAGTGTATCTGATCGATGCTTTAGGACACTTCCTACACCCCTGAAGAAGGTGATGCGAAATATCTGGCTCCGGAGGTGCTGAATGCTGCGCCAACCAAGGCTGCCGATGTGTTCAGCATTGGGATTACAATTCTCGAAGTCACTACAGACCTAGACCTGCCCTCGAGAGGCGATACTTGGCATCAAATTCGAAGCGGCGACATTCCAGATCGATTCTTTTCGGGTAATTTGTTACTATCGTACTAACTCATAAATTCTTGTTGGCTCCAGGAGTCTCAAAAGACCTCACACGGCTCATCAAATGGCTAATGTCTCCGGATCCTGCTGCTCGTCCTACTACAGCCCAGGCATTGTCTGATTCGGCGATTGCAAGTAGAGCGTCGCTGCGGTCTTGCTATCTAGTTTATCATCAGACGGTAACTCGATATCCCAGAAGTATTCAGATTTTCTACTTTCTTTATTCAGACAAAAATGATCAGTGATCATTCGAATACCATCTTGATGTGGATCGTTGCACTCATCCATTTGTTGGCGATTCCGTTTACGATGTTCTTCGACGCGCTTAGGAAGAAGAAAAACGACCTTTGTACAACGCCATCCAAGGGCGCTGCGATGTTTGTGGTATGTTAATTTTCTCATCTTGCCAATATGGTATCGCGTTTTTGGTCTAAGCATCTTCTTACTTTTTTGTAAAACTTTGCGAATAGATAATTACCTTTTGCCAAAATATCTGTGCTGCATTTTTGTTGATTATTTAGTGATTTTTCTGGGAATTTTTTTTAGTTCGCAAACTTGCGTAGACGAATTTAAAAATTACAGCTTTTGTTGGAAGCTGAGTATTGCCACTTTCAGACTCATACTCCGGAAATAAACGGATCGATAAGGCACGAGAGAATTTCAAGATGGGATGATGATAGCGACTCAGGTACCTGCTTTTGCATAGAGCTTTTGCATCTCTTCCTTATTCCATTGCATCGGTATTCCAGAGGAAAATCATCCAAGGCACAGTTTTACAGCAATGAGTAAGCGATTTTTGGATATGGAAGATCAGCCTAGTGGTGGAGATCCGTTTCCGAGGTCAGTTTTGCACTACTATCTTTAAGTTTGGAATATACGGCTACTGCTATTATCTAGGTACCGCCTACGTTTTGATGACGACACCCCTTCATCATCTAGCGAAAGGAACGATGTAGCGCGTGCCACGAAAGATCATACCAGTACTCCGTAGGTTCCATTTTTCAATAGTATTGGAGGAAAAGGTATCTTATGCAGGATCTCTGCGTTCTCAAAGTCTCGCCGAAGTGATTCGCACGCTTTCACTTCCGAAGTGCCAAAGTACCGTGGAGCTGCAAACGAGAACTGGTCCCCTTTAAGCAAAAGATGTATCGATGATTCTGATGATGACTTGATGAACAGATCACCAAAAAGTCGAGGGTAGGTTAATTTCTTGCTTAACACAAAACGCTCACAGTAAAGCCTTTTAGGACGATGTCGTGCCCGCCATATAGACAACCTCTGCGATCACGACTGCGCAATCGTCTCATTCCAAGGCTTGACTTTTCGCTTGTAGACGACTCACCGGACTCGCTTTCCTCGCCTGCAACAAATACTGATTCAACTGCGTCATCAATGTCATCTGGTCGCTCAAAATCGAAATCTCAGAGTACGAATACGAGAATGGTAAGTTTTTCTTCATTGCTTCGCTTGAGTCATTTTCACTTTTCACAGCGTTAATCAACTCAGCCAAATTTGAATGTTAGAATAATGCTATCAGTATCATGATTTGAGGTGTTGGTGTGGAAAAATGAGGAGAATTTGTGAGCATGATGTAGTATATAGCTTTATTTCATCCATTGAGTTTACAGATTACTGGAATGGCCAGTTCCGCTGAAGAAAGTTCGTAACTCCCATATGCTTGGAATACATCATTTGTAACAGATGCTTTTATGGATACTCACCATCTTCACTTGTGATTTAGCATTTCGTGTCTTTTACCGGTAAACGATGCTTTTTTGCGAGTACCTTCTCTCTTACTCAATCTGCCTTTGTGTTCTCGAATTATATCACTTGCTTGGGATGTGTGAGCTGTAGAGTATATTAACGTGTCATATATATGTCTAATAATAATAAGTTGGTGTACTTGGAACATAATTTAAAACAAAATTATCCTCTCTATTCAGACAACATATTAATCGTTTTATTGTGAATTGTCTCCGATGACTCTGTTCGACGTAACTGCAGAATGCTCTGCTTGAAAAGACAATGAATTCTATGTATTCGTTCATTTTTATGGTTTTGTTCTGAATAGTATTCTTTGTAATAAAAGTTATAATGAGCCCGTACCAGACGCGATAAGTCAAGGTTGTTACCTCTATAGATTAAAAAAAGTTTTGTCAAGCTACGTAATCTTGTTATGGTACCCTTTACTCACCCTGGAAGTGCGAGAAATTCAGCTCAAAAATTAAGGCTTTTCGATATTGTATGACATTGTATACATTCCAAAAATATCTCAAAAATAGTTCGGAACTGTCGCTCTCCCTCTTGGCAAAAAACTTTCTCGGGCTGCCATTGATGTAGGGATAGTACGAAAACCAAAAGATTTTATTGAAAGAAAGAACTTTATTAGAAAACGACGTGAGGTTTATGCGAACCCAACACACGTATTGCCAATATGTGTTTGGTTTTTATGTTTACGCGTACGATTCATGCAAGTACAATCTGCTATGTGAATATTGCTCTCAACACGAAAATGGCTTTTCAAATTGTTTAAGATATTCTTCTGTTGCCTTTTTCTTCTTTTCTTCAGCTTCTTTCTTGTCTTTTTCGGGGTCTGCTGGCACTAATTTAACGTCACCTATCTGATCAAGCGATGAATTTTCCAAGGCGTTCTTTAATAAAATTTTTGGATCGGATCTGTTTCACACAAATCACATCGAATCCTACCCTAGTCATCATTTCTGCTTCTTTATTTTTCTGCACGGCCGTTGTGTACATTCCAGCATAATGCTATAAAACTAGAAATATTCACAAGTTTGAATTGTTAAATATTAATCCTACCGCATCTCTCGCATTCATAAACTCCTTTTTTTCTTCTCCTTCTCCTTCAGTATCATTGCTTGATTCAGTTACGGCCAAATATCCAGGAGTGGGTGGTTCAGGCTGTAATAGATGGTAAATTTCATCTTCGCGCTCATTTTGCTCCTAACCTGGAAAAGATGTCCTTCAGTTCTTGCACGAGGTTGATAAGTTTCCAGGACATTTGCAACATTGAGATATGCTCGATGATGACGAGTGAGTGCGTCTCCGTGAACCCAGTTCCACTAAAATATGGCGCCAGTAGTATAGATGGAGAAGCAAATTCCAATGGGCGCTGCCTCCGCGGGCTACTGGTCCTTTTGCCCATGGCATTGTACACCGCATGAGGATCAAAAGTCCGCGGAGGTGGCAGGAGATGGAATTTCTCTACTCCTGTTGGTAAGGCAGAAAAACCAGTAAAGTTACCTCATGCGCAAATGCACACATCACCAAAATTAACAGCTTAGCGACCAGCAGCGAGACATGGCCCATAAACCAAGCGACTATCAACTGCAAAATTCCTAGCGATATGAGCACTAGAACTGTCGAATTGAAACGAGGCCTGAATCCGCGATTCTCAACCTGAATCTTATCAACCTTGGGTAAAGCTTACGCTCTGGGATCGCCGTGTTTCTCAGCCTTGCCTTTCTCTGATGACGAACTTTTTGGAGGTTTCTCTGTAGCAGCAGTCATTTAATGGAAGAGTACACGAATGACGGTGATCAGACAGCAGTGGTGAACAAGCAAGCCACTTTTGGAATGATTGGTACTAGAAATGATCCTCTCCAAGAACTGTGTGAAATGTAGGGAAGGAAATATAAAGTATCAGTGACTGCTTTTATTCTTATCATTAGCACATGGGGCCTACAAGGGAAGTTCGCTTAGTCGAGGTGGAGATTCAGAAGGTGATCTATACCAATGGATAGAGCTTAGAACGCTGATCTCAGACATACCTTCTGTATCTGCGATGCATTGTTCTTAAAAAAGTTATGAGCTTTTCTAATTCGAAATTTTCGTGCATTTTTAGTCGCAAAATCATGGTAACTTCTATACAAAAGTGTGCAAGCTTAAGCAAGCTATTTATAAAGCACTGTAGGTCTAATTTGAGTTCATCCGAACGTTTTCGAATTTTTTCCGAAAATGTTGTTTATTCACAGGTCGTCATTTCATTTCTAGATCATACTTCCGTTATATATGCAAAAAAGCCCATAACTCCATCTAGAAAAACGCGTCGCAGGTATCGGAGGTATAATCGAGAACACCGTTTTACGCTCTATCCTTTGGTATACATCACCATTCGAATTGCCACTTCGACCCCGCGAACTTCCCTTGTTAGAAAATTCTGTGGTCCTACTTGCTTGATAGTTTATCTCTGCATGCTTTGCAGATGTCCTGATCATCCGCGGTTTTTAGTCCAATGTAAACGCAATTTTTCATAGGTTTTGTTAAAGTTTGGGCTTTGAATTAAAGCAGATGTTGCAAATTGTATTGCTGCTGCAAAAGTAAGTGTCGCTTTTTGATGTTTGATGTTAAAAAGTTTTCAGCTATTGTGAGCTATTCGTAGTATAGAATCAGAGAAACTCATGCAAGGTAAATATTTGGTCGGTGTGAAAGTTCTGTAGTTTCATTTTCAAAAAATCGTAAGTTCTTGCTTGACACGAAGTGCTTTGCTATGATTTCATTAGAAAGAAGAAACCTTCTACTCTGCAATTATAGATCAAAGAGTTTCTCCTGAACACTGGCTGCAGAGATAAAATTGGACGAAGAAGGATAATTCAAGCTTCATTTATTTTAGCTAGGCCTCCAAAAATCTGGAACCTTGCGGAAAAATCTAAAATCGTCAGCATGAAAGTTGTACGACCTAATTCTCCCCAATTGTGAAAAGTTTTTGATGTGGACGTCTTTGTAAAAAGTTATAGATTTCGTGTTTACTATGGAAAACGCCAAAATTGATTAATTTGTTTTTTGTCGATAATTAGCACTTCTCATAGAAACGTCAAAACCGGACAAACTTTTTGGTTGCAAAGAATAAGTAGGTCAAAAAACTCATGTACTGACGCTCTCAGATTTTTCTGCAGGGTTTGGATTTTTGGCGACCTAAATCAAAATGATCAAGGCTTGAACGTTCTTCCTTTCCCATTTTTTTCTCTGCGGCCATTGCGAAACATGAGCTATGCAAGAAAGCGTTCAAGCAAAAGAGTTGTTCTTTTTAATAACTTACAAACGAGCAAATCCGTTGAAATAGCGCAAAGTTACAAATTTTCGAAAATGAAACGACAGAACTTCCGGATCGACCCAATATCACTCATTCTCTGACTAAGAAAAGCACGCTTGCGTACAATCTGAATGAAGGCAGCGTGCACCCAAAATTTCGCCTTCGATGTTTTTGTCATTCTGGGGTCTTTCCGTGCCCCTGGCTACAGTTATGATATTAAAATCATCCAAAAGTCCCAAAAAACCCCGATTCGCGGACCCTTTCATCAGAGGGCGGACGAGTTCCGAATTGCTCGACCCTGTTGGCATGCCAGCGAGGAGCAGCTACAATTGCATGACAGCCTGCAGTAGCAACTGCAACTGCAGCGTATGCTGTGGTGGATTCGTCGTCCGATTGAGGCGGACCGCAAAAGCAACTGCACTGTTTCAACTGCAGCTTATGCTGTCTTGGATTCGTCCGAAAGAGGCGGACCGCAAAAAGCAACTGCACTGTTTCAACTGCAGCTTATGCTGTCTTGGATTCGTCCGAAAGAGGCGGACCGAAAAGAAAGGGCGGAGCGAAAAGAGAATCAGGCAGGTTTTTCCCGCTTAGAAGCAACGTCTTCTTCTGGGCGCTAGATATACACGGTATAGAGAACCGGGTAACTTAAATTTTGGGTGTACGTTGCCTTTAAGAAATTCATAGGCGCGTTCTGACACCTTTTGCATGATTTACTATGAAAATTCCTGATAGAACATAGTCGAGCTTGTCAAATCGCGAGCTCGAACACTTCAAAAATTCCAAATGGTATCGTCCTTTCCCCACAGTATAGCGAGCGGAGCTTTGCCGACGTTTGCCAACGTATGCGCGTGGCAGTTTTTGGCAGCTAGAGAGTAAAAAAAGCAATGCTTTAGGAGGTTCAACAAGTTTTTCAACGTGTTCAAATGCCTGCACGACCTCGCCCGCTATACGCATGGGAAACGCCTATATCCAGGGTTGAGCGTGGGGTCAGGCGCGCCCGACCTGGGGGGTCGTACTGGGTAAGACAGAGAGGGGGGGGGGTCGTGATTAGGAATCGAATTCGTTCGATTGAGGAGATACTACGATTAAGGTGAAGAAGAAAAGCGCTAGTTTAGTGGATATCGCGATCTCACCAGTACTGAAGGAAAGAATGGTCTTAAACAGCGTACTGATTGATTCCACAATCGAAGTTTCGGCCAAAACTCAAATCTTCATCTTCTACCTTGACATATTATAAATCATCAAGGAAGCTTGCTGTGTGAAATGGGTATCATTTCCGAGCACCTCAAATTACCTCTATGAGCCCTACAAACCATTATTTACTGCATTATCTAGTGTTTCTCAACGACTAAAAAGCGTGATTTTCAAACATGATTAACTTGTTTTCAGAAGTGAGAAAAGTCAATTTTTTTGTACTCGTAACAAAGTATTGTTCCCTACTAGTCTAGGCTAAAAATCGCGCTTTGTATCGCTTGCAAATAGTGGAGTAAGAAATAATGCCAAAATTCCGACCGGCACGTTTTTCTCCATGACTGCTTCAACTCCACGGATTACCACAAGGCCGAAACAAGTCGAATTAAGTCCAAACACTTACTGTGGAATCTTCGAGGGTTGTGCTAGCGTCACATAAAACTTGAATAAAAAAGCTTCTTCAATGATAAAGTTAATCGGGTCAGGCGCAACCCCATAAAAGGTCAGGCCGCCTGAGCTTTTGAGGGGTTGCGCCTGACCCAATTAACTTGTTTTCAACATCTAAAAATCGCTCCATTTCTGCTATGAGTATTGAACTCAAAGCCTCTTCTTGCAATACTGCAAATTTGGAGCCAAACAATACACCCCTGTGGGAATTATAGCTCTAAAAGTAGGGCTATCCAAAATCCAAAACTTGCCGTCAAGTTGCGTGTGCTGTGCAATCGCAGAAAGTCGACCTACAGACCTCCAAAAAACAAGAACCTCCCAAAAACGGCTGATCTCTTCGAATTATCACAGCCTGAGGTCCTGGAGGTGAAGCAGAGGGGTCGTTTAGGGGCTTTCACTGGGGGGGGGGGGGTCGTTTTGGAAAGACTTGTGCCTGACCTCTTGCTCAACCCTGCCTATATCTAATCAGAACGGCTTAGAACACGCCTTTGAACTTGTTAATCAGACATAAGCAAAACACACTCGTGTCTCTTGGTCAGAGAATGGATGATATGTGAAGTTGATTGTGTTGACTGAGCAAAGCAAAAGTCATCCAGGAATGCTGCCCTCTCTCGCGATCTATGGCTCATCTTGAAACGCGCCTTTCATCCTTTACTTTTTTTCATATCGAAATTTTTTTTAGTGATGTTTGCGTTTGGCAATGCAAAGAAATAGTTTGGGGATAAGAGAGAGCTAGAAATAAATCTGAGGCCAACTTCGTGCAATTTTTTGCCTTCTTTCCACAGCGGCATAACACAACATAGTAGACAGAGTTTATAACATATCATAAAACACAATTTAATCACATAAAAAATGACAAAATGAAAGAAATGATGAGCAGTAAGTACAAGTTGAACGGTAATCGCCGTGAGATGAATGAGAGTGTCAGTGTGAGCTTTGTCGCGTCCGCGAGCGCCTCTGATTTCTGAACGATGACAGCGATTTCCGCTTGCTAAAATTTTATAAGTAGGTCTTGAGAACATATTACTCTACTCTAAGCTCGTCTAGGCAAATATGCAAAGCTGTACTAGCATGCATACGAAACGAAGCAAACAAGCAAAGCCCTTCTAAGCTAGTTCTGGTATCAAGTTTACTGCCTTTTCCCTCGTTCTGGTGTGATACTTCGATCAAACATCTGTGCTAGTTTCGCTACTGGCAATTGTTTTTCTGCATGTAGGCCATCAACCTGTGTAAAAGCATAAATCTTTGCATACTTGTCGCAAATCAGGGATAGGAATTCTGAACTAGTAAATCTCACGGGATTCCAGTGCAGCGATTCTTCCGACACGTCTTCTTCCTCTTCCACAGTTTCTTCTTCGCTGGCTTCCTTGAATCATTACTATTACGTCACCGTATAGACGAGTAGGGGCAATCCCAAATATTCAAACCTTCCATTCGCTCATGGAAGGGGTATCTGTTACGACGGATTTGGCTGGCTTTGACTTTGCAAAGGCGCGTCGAATTCGCTTCTTTGCTGACGACATTTTCGACGGTGATTTTCGTTCCTCATGAAATGAACAGTTAGAACTGTTAAGCATTCTCCTGCACTCTAATACTCACTAAATCTTCTGTCTGAATAGTTCTCTGTTCAATCTTTGGAGATGGAGTCTGAATGCGGGCATTCTTTGTCTCTAGCTCCGTGTTCGTATCGACGTCGACCAGATCTGTCTGTGTAGTTTGCGATATTTGGTCCATGGTCGGCGAGGATTCAGTTTGACAGAGAGAGTCCTGAGTGGAAGCCTCAACTAAGAAATTTGCAACGGATACAAAAAATTCCACATCTGTACCGCTGTTGGTGACACTAGTGTTAGCACTTCTTCATCAGCTGTCTCTACAATAATCGTCTGCGCTTCTGCATTATATCCTTCAACGGTCTCTGTCTGGGTCTCCATTTCTTGGCCGTAAACTTTCTGTTCCTCAGCTTGGCAGCTTTCATCTTCCAGCACTATTTCGATGGTTTGCTCAGTTTTATCCGAACTGCAAGGGACGGTTATTTTGAGAGTCTATAAAAAGTTTATCCAGCCTACGTCTCCCGCGTCTCCGTTTGGCACTCCACCTCGTGGCACATGATAATAGGAATTTCATTAGCTTCTTCCGCTTCTATCTGAGATAATCTTTGATGCATATTGGTCGCAAGCAATACGTAGAAGTTACAGCAGACCTGTTTCTGAACCATTTGCTCCAGCTCAGGTGGAGGCTCTTCATTCTCCGCCTTCTCTTCGATGTTGAAGAGCTTTGGCATACCTGTGCAATTCTGACTTCACTCTACAGAGTTTTCTCAATTACTTAGACTTTTCTCACTGTCCACAATATACTTAATGACTGTTTGATTCACAAGCTCAAAAGGCAGCATCAATAAATGTTGATATGCTCGCTTTTTAGGAGATCTGTATGTCATGGAAGCAAGGTGCCATCATGAGGAAGAAGAACAAAAGCACGCCTACCTGTTTTCTCATCCAAATCTGTCAGAATAGCAGGTACTTCTATACCCTTTGACTGCGCTTCTTGCTCAACTTTTTCCATTGCGCAGCGTTTCTTTTCCTTGCTGAAAAATTGACATCAAATTTGCCAAAACTTTCCATACAAAATATTATTAACCTCAGAAGTGGCATCAAGTATTTGGCTGTTTTATTGCCGCTCCACATTCGCATCATACCGACCGATGCGCCCATTTGGTCACCACCTAACAATCTGGTATAGAAATCATGCAAACTTTGTATTAGGAAAGTTCCTCACCAGCTTCCATTTTTTGTTGATACTCAATAATAACTTTCATCATTAAGTTGACATAGAAGTCCTCTAGGGCTACCTACAAAATCTTCCTTTTGCCAGGTTTCGCAAAGAGGAAAATACAAATGATCTAGTACAACCAGAATTAGACCAAAAATGATTTTAGAGTTTTTTTTGTAACGATTTTTGACGAAAACTGAGTTTCTAAACATGGGAAATAGATGTTTGAAAATGATCATGTCATATGAACAGGATCCCATAAGTTGAGTTACCAGCAAACTTCCTCACCTGCACTACGTTTATACTCATACTGACCAGCGAAAGACCAATGATTACAAACACGAAGCAAAGCACCATCATACTGAATCAACTCATAAGTGTAGAGTTTGAGAGATTGTTTTTACTTACTCTCTCCTAGCGACAGATATATCACCCAGACCGATTGTAGACAAACTTATAAACATGAAATAACAGCTTTCACCATAACTCCAGTCCTCCCAAAGTCGAAAAAGTCCAGAGCAAAAGAATATCCAGCCAATAGTTATACCAAGGGCAACCTTAAAATTACTATAGAATAGGTAAATGGTAAGGAAAATGTACCTTGACACTCATCCTGGGCTGTTTTATTTCTTCATCTTCTTCAATATCGCCAATGGAAGGAAGGCTTCCAAATTCGGAAGCCAATGAAGAAACATCTAGAGCGGTTTCCCCTCGCTCTAGCATATCCACCTAGAAGGAAATTTTAGCATTCACTTTTTGTTGATTTGATGATTTGCATATGAAAATTTTTGCTTACATTATCGATCTTCTTTTCCTTTGTTCCACACAATCGAAGCACACCTAAGTACGTGCCGAAATCCTCGATGTTCTGTTGCATAGATTACAGACTGTCTTGAACGAATGTATTCCGTTACACAGGCAGACTTACCTTGACACATCCATTTATGTTGTTATACAAGAATTTTCCAAGATCATTCAGCGTGATGAGCATCAGTGGTATACCAATACATGAGTAGATTACGGTTAGAATCCGTCCAGCTACCGTAACGCATGCGATGTCGCCATAACCTGAAGGGAAGAGGTCGAACGTATTTCAATAGTGACATATAAACGGTCGTCATTGCTTTTCAGAATGAATAATCTTCTGGAAGATTTTTTACTTTGACTGTTTACTTAAGCAAGCGGCTCGAAAAATGTTCTGCGGATGTGGGGGATACAGGAAGGAGCAACAAAATATAATTGGAATGGACAAATGTTTGAAGAATTTCGAAAGTTTAGAACCGAGGGATTAGTCCAAGGGATAAGGGACCAACTTTAATTTGAACTGCAAAAAATTTGGAAATTCATAATTTTTTTTACAAACGAAAGCAAGTCAATCGCGAAAGAACTCATTAAACTACTCAGAAATTCACGACCAATTTTCGGGCCCATTCCATTCCCCTGCCGCCACACATGAGCAATACTACTTGATTATGGGAGAGTAACTCTGCTATCGTGGTACACCAAGTTGTTGCGCTGCTACCGTAGCCGCTACTATGTTACGCAGCGTGGCTGTGAGAATGCAACGGGTGATGCTACCATAAAGACCACATTATGTGCTGCTGTAGTAGCAGCTACTATGTTGGTGCATTGTGGTCGTGAGCTTGCAACGGGTGGTTATGCTACCCTAAAACCATGTTTTTGTGCTGCTGCAGTAGCGGCTACTATGTGTGGCTGTGTGAGTGGTGCCGGTGGTCCTGTTACCGTGGAAATCGTTGTTGTGTTGCTGTAGTAGCGCCTTCCATGCTGATGCAGCGTGGTGTGAATGCAACGAGTGATGTTCTGTAAACATCACGCTATCGTGGTGCTGTAATGGCAGCTATTATGTAGGCAACAAAGCCATGAGAATGCTGCGGATAATGCTGTTGTGGTACACCACAATGTTGTGTTGCTGTGATAGCCCTACTATGTCGATGCAGCGTGGCTGTGTCAATGCTGCCAGTGATGGTGCTATAGTGGTACACCACGTTGCTGAGTTGCAATAGCAGCTACTATGCTAATGCAGCGTAGCTGTGTGACAACGGGTGATGCTACCGTAAACACACCACATTATCGTGCTTCTGTAGTATCAGCTACTATGTAGGTGCACCAATGGTATGAGAATGCTGCGGATAATGCTGTTGTGGTACACCACATTGTTACGTTGCTATAGTTGCAGCTACAATCTTGAGCAACGTAACTGTGTGAACGGTGCCGGTGGTGGTGCTATCGAGGTACACCACAATGTTGTGTTGCTATAATAGCCGCTACTTTTCTGATGCAGCGTGGCTATGTGGATGATGGCGGTGCTGTCGTGGTACATCACGTTGTTGTATGCAATAGCAGCTACTGTGTTGATGCAGTGTTACTGTGAGCAACCGTAAACACCTCATTGTCGTGCTGCTGCAGTAGCAGCGACAATGTTGCAACGTGGCTGTGGGAATGCTGCTAGTGAGGGTACTATCGTGATACCTACGTTACTGCGCTGCTGCGGTGGCCGCTACTATATTGATGCAGCGAGACTGGCGAGAATGCAACGGGTAATGCTACCGTAAACACCACGTTATCGTACTGCTGCAGTAGCAGCGACAATGTTGCAACGTGGCTGTGGGAATGCTGCTAGAGGGTACTATCGTGATACCTACGTTACTGCGCTGCTGCGGTGGCCGCTACTATATTGATGCAGCGAGACTGGCGAGAATGCAACGGGTAATGCTACCGTAAACAACACGTTATCGTACTGCTGTAGTAGCAGCTGCCATGTTAGGTAACATGGTAGGTAACATGGCTGTAACATTTCTAAAGAAGTAAGTTCAGAAATAGTTTAACAAACTTTCCGACCAAAAAATATAGCAAGACATCTTTTGAACAGGAGGGGACAAGTGAAAAGGGTTATGGCTAAAATCATTACTGGCCAAATTTGCGATGCTCCAAGCTCTGTTATTGGAAGTGCAGATATCAAAGAAAGATCATGATTGCCAAAGCTTAGCGCAGTCTTACTAAATATAATTGACTTCTGAAGAAAACTAGGTATGTCCAAGGAAGCTCCAACCGCCTGAACTACCAAAGAATATCACGAAATTGAACTAGAGGCATAATGAATGGCTAAAAATTACTATAAGATTATAGCTAGAGGCTAACCTATAGTTGTAAAGAGTGTGCCAGAATAGTACATAGCTGACATCAAATTCCACTGCGATTCATTGCTGACCTAAAATCCAAACACGCATACAAACTCTTCAGTGATGCAAATTATTTTCTCACCGAGAATCCCACTTGATCTTCAAAGTATTCGACTGCGTCATCAATAAATTTCCTTCGTATATCACGTCGTCTCGCCGCTCGATCGCTAAGTATTTCGTCCATCCGCCGTCGTAGTAGTTCTCGTTCACGACTGAAAAATGCAACTTCTTATCTACAGGTCACCAAAACTGGAACATAAGCCTTGACTTACATGTAGACTTGATAATGTTCATTCCTGGAATTTTGATCAGTAGAAGATTCGAGTAAATAGAATATCACAGAACCGACGACCATATAGAACATAATAAAAATCAACGGGAACAAGTATCTTATATGATAACGTTTGTACAATGTTCGAATTAGTTGAAGATATTGAGATGGCGCTGACTGAGGTGTAGTAGTAATTTGTTTTGATTCCGGCTGTAAGTGTTTTGAAATTCCCAAATTTTAACGATACTGTACTAATGATTGAACTGCTTTCGTAACTCACATGAAAAACTGTGGTACCCGTTTGTACGCTTGGAGCTGATGCTTGAGAAGTTCGACGTCCTACACTTCGTGTCTCAGCTCCTGCAGCGCCTGGTTGTACAGTACTCGTTGGCCTCTGCTGAAGTTATGAAATCAAACAGTATTATACCGTAGGCTCTTGAGCACTCAAAAGCATCGTTTTTTATAATACACGCCTTACTAAAAAAACCCTACGTAGTGTAGTGTCTTGAAGCTCCTTATTCGCGCTTCTTTATGCATATCCGCTATAATCCCAAGTTTGAAAGACATATTTATATGGAAAGGTGAAAGCACTCAGATAATCTACAAATACATAGCCAGCATTCAATGAAGCACACTTGCATGCAAGCCCAGTCAGTCGTTAATCTTGCGGTTTGAAATTAAGAGAGATTGAACGAATCATTTGATAATCCATAAAATTTTGTGGAGAAAGCAGTGGATCTGCTGATGTGCAAGATCTGCTTGTTGTTACGAAAGTGATAGCACTTCAACATAGCTTTTGCCGAATTCCCTGCAAAGCATCCGAAACCTCAAAACTCGACAAATCATGTTCTCTTGGGAGGTGTTTGAGGAATAGTTCTGCACTCAAGAAGAACTATGTCTCAACCCCTTTTCGAGTAGTAGAGATTTCGAAATAGCCTATTGGTTATACGTAAATGCAGCGCTAGCTTTGATCTACAGGATGTCCCAGGGCCCTGCACGAGGTGGGCAAACGACAAGCTGGAAATCGTTTTTGGTGGAAAAAGCAAGGGGGAAATCGTTCTTGCGGGATCCGGGGCGGAGCCCCAGAAGCAGATTTCAAGCGCATGCAAAAGAAGGTCGAATCATGCTCATTACCTTATACATTCAATTCATTGGGAAGTAGTTTTCATAAGCTTCAGCGCGCAGCAGAGTTCCGCGCTACGTCGCGCCGCCGCTAATTGCCGCGTGCCCGACGTCGCTTAAGCGATGCCTCTGGACGGCATGATTACATGATCAGTTCTCAATGCAGGCGTAACGATATAGCACCAGATTACGTAAGCGAACGAAGAGAGGCTAGTAGAAACAAAGTAAGAGATATTATAAAAAACTTATGTGAATGGGAGGTGTAATAAGCATTTTGTCTAAAAATTTTGCAAAACTGGTAAATGAATATGTGAATTCAAATGGCTCGTTTGCAGCGCAGATGACCATACGGTATGAAACTTGGTAGGTACATGAACACGGGCTTGCAGGACTTAACTAAGTAGTTTCTTCAAAAAATTATGTGACTGAAGGTTGTGGCAAGCTTTTTTCTGAAAATTTCCCACTGTCAAGAAAATGGAAAAATGGCTCGTTTGCAGCGCACAGAAAACGAAATCGCGCGAGACTTGGTATGTACAGCACAGCAGGATTAAAGAACAACGTATGAAGAATTTTGAAAAACTTATGTGAATGAAGAGTGCCCAACTATTTTCCAAATTAGGTGGGCAATTGCCCACCTAATCCCCGCATGAGGTAGGCAAAACTTTGAATTCACATAAGTTTTTCAAAATTTTCACATAAATATGTTGTACACCTAAAGTTTACTATATGGTAGGATTTTGGTTCCGAATCTCCTCCTCTTCTCTTTGTTAGAGCCCAAATCACATCAGCAGCCCAGCTTTCTACTCAGACAATTATTGCGACCACCCGCGGAACGGCCCCCGCCGACGTTTCATCCATGCCGCGGGTGGTAGAATGAACGCACGCTAAGCGGCCGAGAGTTACCCGCGGATGCACCGGTAAGCGCTTGAACGACGCCCGCGGATGTCCAGACAAGCACCCGACAGATGCGCGATATGTATCCGCGGGTGGCTCGATAAGCGGTTGCTAAACACAGTAATGTACATTATTCCATTTTTTGAACACCTGTTTCCGTTTCCCTCGCCCTTGCACATCGGTCAGGATACGAGCCAAAATTTGTCTTCCGTAAGACCCAAGTTCCAGCTGCAAGGTAACCCTAGGAGAGGACCCCCACCAGACCGTCTTTACTATTAGCCACATACCGATGAGCGATAAGCAACGACCTACACGTTGAGGGCACCTCTATCTGCGCGGCGTATCTCACGCGAGTAACGTTTTTGCTTACAGCATGTAAGAATTGCGGCGTCCGGCAAGGCCCGCGGCTCGTCAGACTGATTTTATTGGGCGGTTGCCTAGAAGGGCCGGGGCCTGCCCGAAAATGATGTACAAGGCGCCCATTAAAGGCAGTGCAAAAAAAACTCCGGGCAAAAACTCGATTTTGAGATTTTGTGCCTACTTGGGCCTATTCGCTACGCTGAATCCGAAAATGCACATTGTAGTGCGCGAAAATGGCGAAAAACGGCTCTAACGCAGGAGGGAAATGAGCAGGTGGGCGAGGTCCTCCCCACTGCGAATTCACGTTCCCGGCTTCCGGAGCGACCTTCACGCTTCCGGTTTCAAGTCAATCATTCGCACTTGACCGGTAGCGATGTTAGGACGGCTAGCGGAATCGAGAAAATCGCTCCGGGAGCTGGGAGCATGAAATCGCACTGGGGAAAGCCTCGCCCACTTGCTGTTTCCCTTCTGCGCTAGAGCCCTTCTTTGTTGTTTCCGCGCTTTCCAGTGTGGATTTTCGGATTCAGCATGGCGAATAGGCCCGTATAAGCACAAAATCTCAAAATCGAGTTTTTGCCCGGACACTGCCTTTAAGGCCCGCGGCATAACCGAGATACGATATGGGCGGTGTCCAACAAGGGCCGAGGCTTGCCCGGTGCAGAAACTATATTAAAGGCAGCGTCCACCAAAAATGGGGTCGACGAGATTTTGATGCCCAACAGTAGTGGGGCCCCCCAACTGTATACTTATCCAACTGGCGCTGGCAAAAGTTGCTTCCGAAGCGAGAAAATTGCTTCGAAAATCGCTCGGATGACAGATTCGTCACGTTGGCTCCTCCCCTTTAAGTGGGTGTGACGTTCGTCCCGCCCATCCATGCGCGCCCAACCAATCACCGTACCGAGGAAATCGCTCTGCGGGTTCTAAAACGAGGGTTTTTCGTGGTTTTCGCCGATTTTCAACTTGATATTCGGAATCAGGTGTATGAGAAGGCCCTGGAACGGCAAAAACATGGAGGTCGAAATTTTGGATGGACGGTGCCTTTAAGGCCCGCGGTTTGTCCGAAAAGCAGATATGTAGTGCTTTCAATAAGGCCCGTGGCCCGCCCGAGTGTTTTTTCCCGGGCCGCGGGTGTCCCGGTAGAACAATTCAAACCCGCGGCCTTTAACTAGCGAAAACATTGAGCCGCGGGTCGCCAAGCAAATGAATCAAGGGCCGCGGATGGCCAGTATGAAAATTCAACGCCCGCGCGCCAGCAAAAGGCACTATCAAGGGCCGCGGATGCTCGTAATAATTGTCTGAGTAAGGAAGAAAGCGCGCTCCAGACAATCGATACACGAGAACGGCATCTCTCAGTAATATAACTGCGTTCCTTTGATATTTTTTCATTCCTTCATCATTTTTCTTGCTTATTCTTCTTCCTATTTGCTATCTTGATAAAGGTGAGGAATAATTAGAAGAATACGAGCGTTTTTGGGCGCTTTTGAGCGCTTTTAGGCGAAGTGTGGCCGGTGCTTTCGTTGCACAAGCACAAATCATCATTTTTGGGCTCAAAGGGTATTCGTAAAGATTTTGGGATCGAAAGGAAATCGTTTTCGAAAACCTCTTTTGCCAACCTCGTGCCGGGCCCTGCGGTGTCCCAAAAAAATGTGCACACTGTTTGATTGTAAATAACTCTCTTGTATTTAAGTGTTTCGAGAAACTTTAGGTAGCATTTTGTAGAGCGAGGTTCATCTTAGATTTACAGTGTAGAGCGAATCGCCGACCGCTCATGCTTACTGTATGTAGGATTACGGTAGAAACTTTGAAGAGGTTTTTGAGCCATGAAAAGCCATATTTTGTTCCAAAAAGGAACCAAAACAACCTGAAAACTCTCACACTGGGTTAATTAGAGTTGCTGATTCTAAATGTGAAATTCGCAACTTTTCGTAATGCTTCATTAAAATATTATGCGAGGTAAGCAATAGCGGCCTTTTTTTCGATTTCCTAAAAAGTGCGGTTGCACCGTTTAGAAAGCTTTGCAACCTTGTAAAGAGTTGGATGTTGAACTCAGCGTCCATGAAAACTCTAATACACAAGTTTCCACATTTTTTTTGAAAACTTTTGAAACGGCCGCTTTTTTCACAGTGACACCATATTTAAAGTTTCTACCGTAATCCTACAGTAAGAATGAGCGATCGGCGATTCGCTCTACACTGTAAATCTAAGTTGAATTTCGCTCTACAAAATGGTACCTAAAGCTTCTCGCAACACGTCATTACGAGAGAGTTATTTATTAGGTCGTTCTATAAGTTCGTAGCATTTTCAATTTCGTCCTCATATCTTTGAGGAGCGGTTGATTTGCTGCAAGTTGCATATATCATTTGGAAGAGCTGATTGTGCTCTTTAAAATACGCCTACTGATTTTGGTGGAAAGCTGGTTTACTCGGATCTCGTAGCTTTCAAAGATGGAAATCTTGAAAGGCAAAAAGGAGCAATTTCGGCATTTGCGCATTTTTCATTACGAAAAGAAGCGCTTTTGCACAGATTTTTGTACCGATTATGAAACAAGGCGCTCGCACATCAATATGAGACAAAAAAGGATTGGATTGCTAGAAAAGATCAGGGGATGAGCAGTTTGTCCCTGAGCAAGACTTTTCGGGGGATGGGCAGGACGTCCTGCACTAAAAATTGCTGTACAGGTAGTCGATGGTCAACCATTCCGTAAGCAATCCAACTGCACCGTCTAAACCAGGTCCTACCGCAGAAAAACTTAGCAGGCAGATTTAGTGAGCTTTTTTGCATGACGAAACATGGCCTCATACGGCAAACGTCGTCAAAACTGTCCTGCACGATTTGACTGGAAGGGTACTTCAGTATCCAAATTACTCTTCGAATCTCGCTCTATCAGATTATTACTTGCTTTGCTCTTTGGAAAACCTCAGAATGGTGCCTTTCCGATTTCAATAAGTAGTTTGAGCGCTGGTTAGATGACTTTCTTGGGACCCGGCGCGCTGCCATGTGAAAATTGAGGCTGAGAAGCTAACAAGAATGTGCCAAAAGGTCGTGCGCTACAACGAGGAATAGAATCTTGATTGATTTTTACTGTAAATTGATGATTTTACTGGTTTATAAAAACGCTACGAACTTATGGAACGACCTAATACAATCAAACATGTGCACATTTTTTTGGGACACCCTGTATATAAATGCCTTCTTTGAGGCATGGTGATTTATTGATGTGTAGTGAAACATTCAAAACTGACTGTCCAAAATCTATGCATTCAAGGGAAGGTCCACTAGCTATGCTTTAACCTGACAGATTTGTAAATGGAAGACATAAATCTGAACTATTAGGTTGTCCGGAAATTGATGCAGGTTTTGAATTTGATCCGCAATAAGTCATACACTTCTCATTTCTAAACAGGTCGCCAAGTACCATTCAATAGAGCAAAGTAAGCTCTACAAGATGGCTCTCTTGCTCTAGCAATAACTCTGATCCACCACGAGTTTCAAACCAAAAACTAAAACCGATTCAACCGCCCGAAAATTTGGGAAAGATCGTAACTCAGTTCATAAAGGTCCTACAAAAATTCTAACTTGTTCATGCAAACACTCTCCACATAAAACATCTAGATACGCCGTTGCCGTATTTTTTTCTGTGTTAGAAATCAAGAAAACGAAAAATTTCGTACATTTGCCAAAGTGACGCCGTGCCGTTCCCAAATAAGAAGTTGTATTCTACAAACCTGTGGAAGTACAGGCAAAAATTTTCAGCTCTCTACAAGCTGTAATTCTCGAGAAATTTGAATTTTAGCTTGGACCACCTGACCAGGGAAAACTATATTCGATAATTCTCGAGAACAAAAGCTTGTAAAGAGTTGAAAACTTACGTTTATGCTTCTACAGGTATGTAGAATACAAGTATGTGTGGGAACGGCACAGCGTCACTTTGGCAAATGTACGAAATTTTCCGTTTTCTTGATTTGTAACAGAGAAAAAAATACGGCAACGGCGTATATAGATGTCTTATGCGGATAGTGTTTGCGCGAATAAGTTAGAATTTTTGTAGGATTTTTTCAACTGAGTTACGACTTTTCTCGATTTTTTAAACTGTTGGATCGTTTTAGTTTTGGCTCAAAACTCGAGGTGAATGAAAGTACTTGTAAAAGCAAGATAGCCTTTTTGTAGAGCTTGCTTTGCTCTATCGAGTGATATTTCGCAGCCTATATAGGAATGAGAAGCGTATGATTTTTTGGGTTGAAATTTAAAACCTGCATTGATTCTCGGACAACTTAATAACAAAAACGTTCCCCAAATGTTATTCAGGTCTTGCTTTCAACACACTATTGTGAAAGCGCAACAAGAATGAAAAAAAATTGCAGATCAGAACTGTCCATCAAATCCTGCAAGGAAGTCATTTTCTGTAAAATCTCCGATCATCTCATCTCTTCACATTGTGCGAACATGCTCGTCCCTCTTTTTCGAGCAACAAATGCTGACTGCATTTATCGTCGGGGAGCTGTTGCTTTAATGATTACACTACGATTTCCATCACATCCACACCACATTATATCGCATGCTGAGGTGTGCTATCTCATAGTTCGTTTCGAACCGAAAAAGCTCATAAATCAGACAAGTGAGACACCTGACACACGTCGCATGGCGACGATCAGCATGTCACTGTCCTGACATAAATCCAAGTGCTGAGCCCTCACCTGTGACGTCGGCCGAAGCAGATTTGGCGGATGCTGATGCGTATTGGACGGGCGCCTACCGGCGCCTGTGGCGCGCAATAGCACCGGCATCGCTGGAGTAGCACTCGGCTACTGTTCAATGAAGGGCTTGGGCTATCTGCAATGGGGATGGCTTGTAAAGGATCGAAATACGGTAAGCAATCACGATTTGTAGATGTCTTGCATTTCGCAAAACTGTATAAAAAGTCACTAAAGTATAGCTAGCTACTTAGCACATAACAACAGCGACAGCGACAACTGCGTGATTTTTTGCGGATAAAGCATGACAAAGTAAAAAATGTGACTTTGCAACTGAAGCAATGTACTGAGCACCTCGCGCCGTACATATTTTTTGCCAAAGTGTCATTTTAGTGCGGAAAATTTCGATCAAGGAATTATGAGTCATCTATCTCTGCTAGATATTGATGTTAATGAATGACACCTGATACCAATGAATTTTTACATCAAAATTTATCTACTAGGTCGTTACATGAGTGTTACATTTGAAGAAAGAAGTCTCAAAACTTTCTTGAGTGATTTTTCATGATTTTCAGCTTGCCTGGAAGGCTGTAATTTTCTATATATACACTAGCTATAAGTAGGCCGGGGCAAATACATAAACAGGCGCTTAGGGATTGCGACTCTACAATACGTTTTCACAATTTTTTTAGAAAAGCTTGCTACATGAAAAATACACACATGATTGACAATTTCATTTTTTTAATTTTCATAAGATTTTCGAACAATTTCTGGCAAATTTCCAACTGGCGTTAAATGAAACTATGAACTATTCTCGTATAAGTACTGCTGCTCCAGAAAATCCATTATAAATATGAAAGATGAAAAATGAGATTTTAGAAAGATTAAGAAGAAATAGAGCTTGAAGTGCCGTTAGAGAATTAATTTTATATTCACTGCAAGTCATGTACGGAAGGCTAATGATGCCAGTGGAAAACTTCAAAAATGAAGACTCTGCCCAGCTTTTCCAGAAGAAGACAAAGAAAGTGAGCGAGACTTATGGACCTGATAATACCAATCTCACTCAGATATGAAAAAGGTTACCTACTTAATAGTATTTCCGACTTACCAAAAAAGAATAAAGGGAACTTGATGCGAAAGTCCGAATATCATTTACCATAAACATTCATACTCTCAGTTTTTGACATTTTAGGAGCTGGAATTTTTCACTCAGAAAGCTAATCGTAAGATTTTTATCACTATTGATAAAACAAGCAATGAAAGTATCAAACAGTGAGGGTTGTCCTCAGTCCACTACTGTAGAAATGGGACAACTTTGACATGGTCAGAATTTCTTGTAATCAGTTGCCGAATCATAGACTTCATATTATGTCATCGTAACTGCACAGACTCAAAAAAAGCTCAACCAAGAAAGCCGAAAATTAATACCCAACATGTTGATCGATTAGCTGATGGATATGTGTAGAGGGACCATATTCTGAAATCTTATTCAAAATTAGAAGATAAAATTCAAGTTAGTTATTGTCTCGGATTTTGATAGCCCGTGAGCGAAAGAATCTAAGTGTGCACCTCAGGTACAAAGAGAGGTGTTGCAGTCTAGCCTATTGTAATTAATTGCGCTGCTGACGACACGAGATCTTGAAATTTATCAAATAACAGTGAAGGCAGATTTATGTATTGCTGAGCAAGTAACAGTGACTTCACACTTTGCTTGAATTTTGTTGGTTAAAAGTGCAGCTCAATTTTTTTTTCGCTGGTCAGTCTCTATTTTCAGATTTCCAAGTGGTCGTTGCTTTATGAAAATGTAAAACGAAATGAATAGATTTATCCTTAGATCTGTCCGGGCCCAAGTAAATCACAAGTTGCTGCTTGGTGATTTGAAACATGAAGTGCATCAAAAAATCCAGAAGCTTGTTAAACTAAGCTGTCACTCAAGCAGAATCGGATTTCACAGGTAGTCAAGTTGTCAGCTCGTAACATAACAATAACGTCGATACATTCAATGGGTTTTCGTGTAGATCCACACGAAATACTTGATTTTCTTTACAAAAAGAATAAAAAATGTTGCGAACAGATGAAAAAGTGGCATTGAGCTGTAAAAAGTTATCTAGCGTTTTCACAACCATAGTTTTGCAGTTTTGCAGCAGTAAAGTAATAGAAAATGCCATAAGGCCTGGATTTTGGGAAACATAACTCAAATGTCAAATGTCTGGTGCTAGTAGTTTACAAAAAACATCATTTGCACTTTCTTAAAGCATATGGAAAGAACTCTTGCAAATTTTCTGCAGAATGCTCCAAATTTTTCAATCCCTGGAAAATGGTAAGAGTTTGTTGAAGCTAGTAGAAGGGCAAAATTCACTACACCGTAGACCAGACTGATCGGAAAAATTATGAAGCAAACGACATGGAAATGTGCTCAAAAATAACATATCAATCATAAATTCGTCAACATTGACGCTTAGATGATTGATATGCACCAAATCTTTCACCTTCCTGAACTTTAAATTTTACGAAGAAATTGCTATCTGAAGCAGCGTCTCAATGATTATGTATACTTATGTTACAATACAGTTTTTCCAAGACTTCCGTTATCGATCACAATCCACAGAAACCACACCGTCAGGTGCCGTAGAGATGAGATGAATTGAGGTAAACTGTTCTAAATGTATAGCATGATAGCGAGATCAACTATTACAATGTTTTTGGGATAATTGGGCGCGGAAGATGGGTAAGAAAGAAGTCTGGTCATGTTATTCTCCTAAAAGAAGCAAAAGGAACATTTTAGAATATGCTTTTCTGTCTTGGGTGAGAAAACTACTTATCCCAGAAATAGAATAGTCTCTCCGAGATTAACATATTAGATAGCCATTTTAGACAAAGAAAGGAAGGTTTCGTAAATTTGAGCAGTTTTCTGGAGAACTCAGTTTTTCCCAAGTGATTCCATAGCTAGTGACATGACATTAGCATTTTTTTTGAATTTCTGGTAATAATTTCCCGAACTCCCAACTACAGTACGTGTATTACTTGACCATTAATTAAAATCATAGAAAAATTGTAATAGTGAAACGACCAAGACTTTCGAAACCCACTGAATTTGGAACAACATCGATGACAATGCCATTAGACCCAGATGTTTTATGTTTTCATGATACTTTGCCAGTCAGCAAGACATTTACTACCACATGAAAAGACTTAAAACAAAGCTGTAGACATGCTCTTTATCGACGGGTAAAGCAAAAATCTGAGGAAGGTAAAAATACAATAGAACAGATATCATGAAAATCAGTCAACGGTTGTGGAGAGCTATGCAAGGGCGTGGCATATTAGAACAATACAGTTTTACCGAGAAAAAAAAACAGGTGATGAGATTCTACAGCGCATGTTATGTCACCTAAAACAAGTACGGCGAGTGGTCAAAGCCAACTATATTATAGCTATGAACTCTCTGCATCTATGAAGACAAAGACTTCTATTTTTCTAAACGTCAAAACCTTTCATGATGCCATCAATAAATTTTTTTCATTTTTGACCTACGTCAAAAATGAAAAAAATTTATTGATGGCATCATGAAAGACGGAAAATATCGGATAACTGAGCAACCAAAACGTAACGATCGCCGGTTTGAAACACATGACACAGGACTGCTGGGCTTTCTACACGCAGCCAGCCAGCCACCCAGCCTCCAAGCAGCAGGAGCAGCAGCGGTAGCACACCACCCTCGGTGCGCCGTCCATCGGTCCCCCCTCGCTCCCCCTCTTTACCACCTCTGCCATGCTAGTGATCTATCTGCTCGAAATCATCTAATCGGACAAAAACATCATCGCAATAGCTTCTGCTGGATCATTTCGTTTGGTGGGAACTTGCTGGTGCAACCTGAAATTGAAGTTGTTCAAAAAGTGGTTGATGTGGTAACAATTTCGGACCCGTAATCTACCTAGTGGATTTTTTGCCCAGTCAAATAACATAGATGTATAAATTATAGGCAGCGGCTCAACAGATACTCGACTTGAAGTTTTGCTTACCTGCGGTAATTCGAGGCGCTGATTCCGAAGATCCACTGAAGAGCGCGAAAATGGCAAAAACCACCATTTCCAAAGGCCTCCCATTTTGAATTTGGACGAGTGGAGCGCGTCCCGCCATGGTTAGAGAGGCAGAATCGTTGCGAGACCCTCGCAGTTATAATCTCAGACACTCGCTGCGGCGGCGCGCGCGTCTTATGCGTGCGGCCCCTCATGTCGCCCGCCGCCGGCCGTCAAATAGCGCGCGCGCCGCGAGTAGATGGCACGCGCGCCGCGAGTAAATGGTACGCGCGCCGTGAGTAGATGGGACGCGCGCCATACGATAATGGCACGCCGCTGGCACGGTATGAAAATTGCCATTCGCATTTGAAGCACTGCGAATCACGGTGAATCTGTGGTAGACCTGATGACAACCTTCAATTTCAGGCAAACAATGGCTTCAATTTCAAATATGAACTTGAAGTTTCCAAAGTTTCCAAATTTTTGAAATTTGAAAATTCAAATTTCAAAAATTCAAATTCCAAAACTTGAGTTCAAACTCGGCACCTACTCGCGGTGCTTATGAGGACTGAGTCTCAATGGAAGAACTAGAAGAATCCCACTTGTGTTAATGAGACAACTCCATTGCGAAACAGCGATAACCTTAATGAATTGGCGATAAAGCACCCAAAACACTGCGTCGTACTTCACACAGGTATCGCTTGTGCTTACAACGTGTGAAAATGCGGAAGATATCATGGCACGCCACTCACTGATAGATTGCGCGCCGCTCGCACTCTCAACTAGGGCGCGCCGTTCGTAATACAGTGTTATAGTGGCGCGCGCGCCGCCGCGCCTAGTGTCGAATAAGCGCGCCGGCGGCCGTAATAAGGCGCGCCGCTCGCCGGCTGCGAACGATGGCGCGCCGCTCGCACTGCAGCCTCAACTGTGGCGCGCCGCTCGCACGGCAGCCTCAAATAGGGCGCGCCGCTCGCACGGCAGCATCAATTAGAGCGCGCCGCTCGCACTGTAGCGCTATTATGGCGCGCCCGCCGCCGCAGCGAGTGTCTGAGATCTTGCGGCATGCCTTCTCTGGCGGGTCAAAGCGAATCTCAAGCTCGTCCGCGCGTATTAGAATGGCTTGCGCGTAACGGGGTTTTCTAGGCAAGGGCAGGCTGTGCGCTCGGACCTGCTCTGTTCTCATATGTTTGGGGTGCAAGCAACCTTCCATATCAAAATTTCGGGAGGTTCGGTTTTGGCGAGCTGCTGCCTTCAAAGGATATGAGAGAGAAGAAAAATTTGCCATCTGGCTTGCATCAATTTCACCCACGATGCACCTGATCACACCCAAACATTTCAGGTGGAGCTATTAGAAGGAATTGCAATTCGCAATATTTTTTCATCTGCTTGGCGTACTCTGAGTGCACAATATATATTTACATAATAAATCGGTACTTATCCGCTACTCGCTCATTTTTTCAAAATGGTGCCATGCGATACGTGCTTCACGCTAGAGATTTTTTTCATAGATCTTGAGAGGACTGTCAAGATAAAAATCAACACGTTTGGGGCCAGTTTTACATGTTTTTTCAAAATCGTTTTCACTGAAAAATGAGAGCCATTGAGACTCGAAAGTTGTTCAGGGGTCTTTTATAAAAGCAAAACAGTTTCGAATGTTTTAACATCTTGACAGTTTTCGGCAATGATTTACTAAATCCTGCTCTTCACATTGTTTCCGATATGCCAATTTAGTCAGAAAACAATGTAAGATGGCTCGAAGTATCTTGCATCCCCCAGAATTGTTCCCGTATGAACCACTCAACGCGGCTACCTTTCGATCTTACGTTAACTCCAGCAAATTTGAGGCGCTTATTCAAATGTAACATTTGAAATGATCGAAAGACAGCCACGTCGATGGTTCATATGGGAACAATTCTGGGGGATGCACTTTACCTGGCTGCCGATTGTTTCGTCGTTTATATAATGCGAAAACCTAATGTGTTTATTAAACACTGGATGTTGATTTCATAATATTCAAATCGGGGTTTTCAGGTATCATTGAGACAGCAAGATGCTGAAGTCTAGTCTTTGACCAGCCTTGCCTTCTGCTTTCTTATTCTTTACGTGGACAGCTTGGTAGCCGTTGATACGGGGCCGTGTTTACCTCACATTTTATCCATTTTATCCCTGATAAGTCTGGCAATCATGTTCGTTTAGTGTGTTATGCTTTCTGTTCATTCCACTTTTCGTTTTTGTTTCTGGCACACCTATCGAGTATCTGGCACACCTACCTTTAAAATGAAAATAAATAAAAAAATAAATATTAAGGATCATTTATAGGACTGCTGACTAGAAATGAGGTCATTATGAAATTAAAAAAACAGATTCTTGCATCGATAGGTTAGCTAAACAAACTCTTGTTAAAACCGTCAAATATGTAGAGACACGTCAATTTTTTTTGACACGTGGCCAAATTTGGGATAAAGAAAGAAGCAATATCCTTTTTTGAAAAAATGGGTCCGGATAGAAAAGTACCAAATAATCAAGCAGATAAATTGCATGCAATTTTCAAATTTATCCAAAGCATTACCCTGCGATCCTATAAAGCCTAAAAGAATCTGAAGCTAAATTGGTGATCCAAAATTCGCACGATCTAAGGACACAACGCAGTACTACAAGGCTGATTTCTTTCTGGCTCAAGAGACAATCAAATTATATGTTACTTACAACAACGTACTATTTATTCCCCCTAACATAACACAACAAAACATGCGCCACAGTTTTTCGTCCAAAATCACTTTTTCGAAATTACAACACGCAACGTGCTACATTCCAACGAAGACAGACGAATGCTGCTTTACTAATGACATGTTCAGAGTGATTATTAGTGACATCTAAAACCACAAAGCATAATTTATGATCAATGGGCTAATTTAAGGTTGGAATTGGATTGGCATCTCACTTTCGTGAGGCAAGGCTCTGCAATCTGAAGCCAGTGCTTCAACCTACTTTAGAAAAAAGATAAAGTGAAGGATGTTCAAGATCCTCCTAAATTCCCTAAATTCATAACCACTCAGATTCTTTTACTGATACAAGCTCTCTCTTAAAGGCACCGTCCACCCAAAATTTCGACCTCCATGTTTCAGCCGTTCCAGGACCTTCTCATACCCCTGATCTCGAATATCGAGTCGGATAAGCGCGAAAACCACGAAAAACCCCCGTTTTCAGAGCCCGCAGAGCGATTTTTTGGGACGGTGATTGGTTGGACACGCACGAATGGGCGGTGCGAACGTCACGCCCACCCAAGGGGAGGAGCCAACGTCGCGAACTGTCACCTGAAGCGATTTCCGAAGCAATTTTCTCACTTCGGAAGTTACTTTAGGCAGCGCGAGTTGGGCAATCATACAGTTGGGGGCCCCGCAGCTGCTAGGTATCATAATCTCACCAACCCCAATTTGGGTGGACGGTGCCTTTAACTCCCACACTATTGAGACCATTCCTTCAAAGCAAACCAATGAACGCTGTCGCATACTGTAAGTCTTACAGTTACCAGCCAATGACGCCCATTGGTATCTGTACCCTCCCAGATTAGGCAAGAGCAAAGGTTCCTACCTATAACAGTAGTAGAAACATGACCTTCGATGAACGTCTTTCTGCAGGCGTTTCGCACAGTTTCTACGTCAATTGCCTGAAAGTTGACATATAGATTAGTATTTATTGCCAGGACTGTTCCTGGCCAAATTCTGATTCACAGAAAAAAATTTCTTGAATTATAGCAGAGACTATTATGTTTTCTGTAATAAATTTTCCTATCTTCCGATGATATAATCAGTTTACATAGATAATGATCAAAAGTTATCACTGCATGCATTACGTCGAAAATAAAACTAAGTGCTTGAATGTCTCAATTTTTCTTGACTGTTCATAGCTGTTTCATTACCAAAAACGCCGACCCTTCTCGTTTGCAAACACTTAAGTTGTGACTCAAGCGGTCGACCATGTGCCTGGCTCAGGATATTTTCGTGACAAGAAAACAGGTGGAGATTGTGTTCAAATGCCACGGACGTATGTGTAATGTGAGATGGGCAAGGTGTGGTCAGCGCTGTTTGACATCCGATAATATTTCCTTTGCTTAAAATAGGTCAATCCAGTACATTCAATAGTAACGAAGTTTGCAAAACATGATTAAATTACAACGATCTGTAGACTTTTGCTCACAGAATTTGTTTACCTTTATCCGTAATTCCAACTCCGGAACAGGGATCCTACGACCGTAGCATAACAGCTGTCGACCAATATCTTCGCAGATTGGAGTGGATCCATCTAACATCAAGAGTAAATTGGTAAGCAATGTTCGCTTGCCTCGATCAACAGTCTCCGCATCAACTTCTAAACAGCTCTACTGAGTGGTTGATGGTGAATACATAAAGGAGGCGATGACCAAAGCCTACCATTAGCTAACCAACGCCATTCGTCCACAATGGCATCCACCAGCGATTCTGATGCCATCTCTTCTGTGACGAAATACACACCGATAAGGCCAGTGTCCTATAAAAGTGTCCATCAATTATATGTTGGTTTCATAGATCGTTGATTCTACAAAATCCACCAAAAGCAGTAATCGGGAACATGCATTAGATATTTTTGAGAAAAATGCTCGTGATGAACGAGAACAGCGCGCAAACATATGTTAGAGATAATTTGAGCAGCGGGAATCAGTTTTATGATAGGCAGTCAATTTTAGTGCCTTAACTAAAATAGATGATCAAGATCAAAGAGTCAAGCTGTTTTCGAGAGTAATTGGAACAACACCTGAGGGGTCAAAACAAGGAAAACCGGATGAAAATGTGCTCGATCAATTACTATTGTTGACATAATGAACTGCATATAGACCTGCTTTGTTATTCTGCACTGACCTTATAGCAAGTATTAAACGCTTGGAAAGACTGCACTCCAGCGCTGCGACCTAGCCGTACGGCAAGCCGAGATGGCGCATTCACTCCAAAACCACGACTTCTATCCCATTCGCCAATCAGCTGAAACAATTTGTTTATGCAAACTACAATGGTTACGTAAAATTCAACCTACAGTGTTAGCCACCATCAAAGCTAGATTATCCTCGTGAGTCCACGACACTCCCTCGACGACTAAAGCGCCATAGATGGAGTCCATTCCTTCAACAGCGATATGTATCTGGAAAATAAACAATGTGAGGAATAAGAGAAGATGCAGAAATGCTCCCCTCTCCACCCCAGTTTAGATCATTACCTGACAGGGCTTGTAAGTAGCCGGTAAAAAATTTGCTGATGCATCACCATGTTTCAGACCTCCGAAATACTTTTCTGCTAGCTGCACAACCTTCAAGACCATTTGTAAGAGGTATAGTAAAGCACGATCTGCATGATCATACATACCTCGTCATGACGGACACCACCTGCGGCACTTAGCACCATTCTACCAGACCGATAGTGTGTGTGAATGTAATCGACAAGATCTTTTCGTTGGATGCTACTAAATAAGTATAACATTTTCAAAGCAGAAACATGATTCTGAAGTATCAAAATGCAATGTGAAACGAAAAGATAATCTACATACTTGATATTCTCCACAGGTCCCAAGATGGTCATCGATAACGGGTTACCTTCAAATGTACCAGTATGTAAATGGTCGAATACAACCTCCTGAAATGCAAAAAGTTCGATAATCGCCGAAAATGGACGAAGACTTTATCAACCTGGAAATTCTGTTCAACTTCTTGCATTTCGCGTAATATCACACTTCGCTCTGCTTCTATATCTCGATTATTCAGATTACTGTTGAGAAGAATATCAGCTAAGATGTCGACAGCTACAAAATTATGAATAAAATTGCTGGAAAAAGGGCCTTACCAGAAACTTACAGTGCTCTAAATCCGTGGAAAAGCATTTTGCATAATAGACTGTTTGTTCACGAGACGTGTAAGCATTCAAATGAGCACCGATATCTTCTACTTCGAGCTCTAATCCACTCCGGGTACGGCGAGATGTGCCCTACAACTAAACTTAGACTGCGAGTCAACTATCAAGCAGCGTTTGGTCCAGCTTTAGCAAGGATTTGAATTTTTGGATTGATATAGCATTGATTTGAATATGCGATTCAAAATGTGATCAGATATTATGGAAACAACGGAGGAGGTAAAACCTAAAACTCTAGTCCCAAGATACTCTTCCTTACAGTATTTAGCAAAACCAAATTCCGCTGAAACAGCTTAGCGGGTTTTATTGCAATGCTGATGAACAATAGTATAAAAATTGCATCATCTGCTGGAGTTAGGGCCGCATGCATTAACATCCTAGCGGGGAGGTGATCGCAGCTTTGAAGAAAGCTTCATATTCTGAAACTCCAAATACCTGGATTTCACGCTGTTTGCCTTCCGCAAGTATTCCTACTATCCTTTACTTTGAACACATTGAACAACAGCAAGAATCTGTACAAACCGCATTTTCCAGCTTTTGTATGGTCCCTAATGATCCCCAGCGCTTCTCTTCAAAGTCAATTTTCTTTCTTCCAAGTCAAAGAAAACCTTCCAAAGTTGCGCAGATTATCTAACCCAACAGTGCTTAGCATGTTGCTGATAAGAACAAGTGATTATCGGAGTCATGAAATTTGCTATGAACCACAAGTCAAAAGTTGGGGTTTACCGAAAAATCCAAATTTTCATAAATTCATTTGTTCTTATCAGCGACATGCTTAGCATTGTTGTGTTAATCAGTACAGCTTTGGAAGGTTTTTTTTAATTTCGAAAAAAGAAAAATGACTTTGAAGAGAAGCGCCGGGGATCATCAGGGATAATACAAAAGCTGGAAAATGCGACTCGTACAGCTTCTCGCTGCTGTTCAATGTGTTCATAGTAGAGGACAGTATGAATACTTGCGGACAGGTAGACAGCGTGAAATCCAGATATCTGGAGTTTCAATATGAAGCTTTCTTTTAGACTGCGATCCCCTCCCCGGCGGGGATGTTAATGCATGCGGCCCTTAGTGGCTACACTGAGAGTTCAAAACTCGACTTTGCTCACAATTCCAAAGGAAGAAAGGGTTCTTCAACATGATGGTAACGACTACGTTATCGCTTGTACCAACAGCCTCCGGCCTGCCAAAGAGGCTTTTTGAATGCAGTATGGCAAGGAGACGCCACACCGAAAACAAGTCCGCAAGCAACGGATTTACCCCACAACAACAACAACACCATAAAACCTCAGTTTGGCATGTTATAAAAAAAGAAGTTTTGAGCAAAGTCGAGTTTGAGCCACTCATAGAGATACCCGCGGTATGTCCAGAAAATGATACTCGTGACCAGCGCATTAAAAATGTACTGGAATGCAATGCACCTCACAAACTGAGTTTTGGGTCGACTATCGAGAGTCTATCGCCAAAAGCAGCTTTCCATACAGCGAGACCTTGACCATGATGCATAAGTACAGGAAAAAAACAGAAAAGACAAAAAATGGGTATTCAAGTCCCGTTTCGAAACTTTTCTCAGTATTCGACTCCTTTTGGTAAGAGAATACCAAGATGACCAAAAGACCAGAAAGAAAGTATTTACTATAATGAGCGAAGATCGGCATTAACACTTGCGCTCACCTTGAAAGCCATATGCTCGAGAAAATGTGCAGTACCATTATTTGCTGGGGTCTCATATCTGGATCCGGCATCAATCCAGACACCAATCTAAACGCGAGAAATTCACATTCACAGCACGTACAAAGAAAAAGCACAAAGATAAAAATAATCGATGTTCCGAACAACTTACAGTAGCAGTTGGAATCTTTGTGTCTTCTGTTGCTACCCTAAAACCACTAGGAAGCGTTGTGACCACTGTCTCCGGAAAAAAGACATCTCGAGCTGCCGAAAGCATAGACTTCCATCGTCGATTTGGCTGAAAAACACAACGTATATTATTAAAGTCAGAAGTCATTTTCGTGGATCTCTAAAAAGACTTGCAAGAACAGGAACTATCACATATACTTTGAAGCACTGAAAACAAAATTACCTTCAGAATCCGTCCCCCTATCCGCTGCATGATCAACTAGTAAGAAAGATGAAGCTGAAGAAAAAGAAGCTTCGAAAGAGAGAACAGTTCGATGTGATGCAATAACGCGACCCAATGAGAAGGTTTCACATGGAGTGGCATTGAAGCGCATTATCTCGCTCGCTCTTTAAACACTTAATTTCATTCTTTCTCTTTCTTTTAGGTCTTTGTTAGGACCTGATCAACGTAAGGCAGTTGTTTTGTAATTGCTGGTCAGAATTTCGTCCCTATTTTGACAGTGTCACAATTTCGTGATTTTTTGTCGCCTGAAAATGTCTCTATTTTATTTTTTCATTCATTGTTTTGAAGTCTTTTTGGTACCTTCCACATTGCTAGCATGTAATCGCATTTTTTGTTCTTTTCCATGTATTTTTCGGTTTTGCATATCCAACTTTTTTGGAGTTACAAGTGACGAACGGTGGAAATCATCGGATTTGCAGGTTTCGAACTCCATTTTTGAGTGAACAGATAAACCCTGGTTTTCTCAAATCGTTGAAAGTTTGCTTTCAGTCATAAAAAGGCGTATCTAATTATCATAAGTCTTCACAGCACTTAAAAAACAGCCGTTAATCTAAACCCATGTTTTTCCAGTTTTGAACGCTGGTAGGTGTTATTTGTAGATCTTATTTCAGGACAGAACTGCGTAGTAAGCGCACTTCTTCCGCCTGGTTGCACCCTCCTTTTACTCCTTCTCGCTTCCTCTCCGCTCGTAACGTGTCATGACTCACTTTAGCAAGATACTCAAATAACTACAGTTCAAACCCAGGACAGGTTCGTGGGTTATAAGCAATTCGATCGATTCTCACCAGCCCCGAGTGACTAAGACAGCGGGCGGCCCTTCATCTCTCTCGCTCCGGCATTTTTCACCTTCCTCGAAGGGCGAATGGCGTCGTTTGGCCTCGAGCTCTCGCTGCGTGTGAGGTAAACAACTTGGCATTTTAGTGCATGTTTTGCTTGCAAAGACTTAGGCACTGTTTACCCAGAGTTAAGGAACAGGTCGGCTTTTTATGCCTATCAAAATTGTTTACCTACCCTATTTAAAAAAGTTCTTGGAGTTTTCTATTGGGTATCTAAAGTTGATGCATAATTCCTGCGTCTGCTGTGCGAGAAAATGTCATAAAAATGTTCAAATAGTTGTTTGTTTGAATAATTTGTTGAGTTTAGCTCTTACAGTACATATCAGACCTTCTATTTCAATTAAAACTAAAAAGTCGAGAAAAAATCGAAAATCGGAACTATTTGAAATGACGAAGATCGTAGTTCAAATCAAGCCTAAGTAGACTTTTCACCAATTTTTGCGACCAATATCTTAACAACTAGTTCCTGGAAGTTTCTCTCAATCAATCTGAATCTTTGCGATATTTATTCTAAGAATTTTGGTATAGACACTCTTACAAAGCGCGCAAGATGTAGTTGTGATACATAACAAAACTCTCTTTAAAGTTGGTGAAGTTATAAATTTTAAAAATTTGGCGCAGGGGTCGTAATCTAATAAAAATTAGAATCATTTTCCTTCTGAAGTTTTTATGGCCCAAGAATTTCATGTATCTATAATACCGAGGGGTGAAAACCGATTCAGTCTTCCTAGCGTAACTCCAGCAGCTAATCCTTTCGATTTTCCCAGGAAAAAACGCCGCCGATAAGACTATGCAATGAACTTCATTATACATTCATGTCTTTCGCACGCGCGCCTTAATTGGATTTTCGGCAAAAAAGGCAGTAGAGCGTTGTTGTCTGCAAGAGAGCTGCAAATGTGCTGAGTTCGCAGTCTCGAGGGAGAGGGGCAAACAGCACGATTAATTGGTTTTGAGGAAATTCCATAAGGAACGAATGAATATGAAGATTTCGATCTTAGAAAATAAAAAAAAATTTTCATGTGTATACTTCGGTTAAGAGCTATGAAAGTAGATTTTCTTTAGTTCTCTTCATGACTAGACACATAGATACTTCAACATTTTACACAAAATTATCGTAATTGTAAGTTGTTTTGATTTAGGAATGTTGCACCAAGCGAAGCTGCCACAGGCATCCGTGCGGTCATCTACAGACATCAGGAATCGGATAATAATTACGTAGAGGTACGATCCTCTTTCTCTCTTGTCTGAAGTCAAGGAGAAATCTGCATCCGTTTTATGGTCTTTTGAACTTTCATTTCTATGCTTTGTGAGTCACAAAATGTTTTTATCCATTTTTCTTCAACAGAGCTCATGCAACCACTCTATTTGATCAATGTATCATGTGGAAAATTCCTAGATCACTTTCTCATTCGATTAGTAGAAAAAAACCGGTTGCAATACATCTTCTGCATGACCGATTTGCTATGAGTATGATTGACACTGATGTTTTTACCACTCGCTTTGTGCGAGTGAGTAATCTTGACCAAACATTGCGATTGTTTACAGATTGCGCAAACAGAAACTGTTTTCGAGCAGACTAATGTTACTTTTCAACATCGATGCCCCTTAACGTATCGATTTGACAAGCTAGAAAGGCTAAAAGTAGCTATGTAAGTCGCTGTGCATTTAAAGAAAGTACCTAAATAGGATGTTTTTAGTTTCTGCGTCAAAGATGACAGCGGCATCTTCAGTCATCGAATCGGCGAGGCCTACACAGATGTGGCTACCATCATAGCCAAAGGAAACTCAGTTTCACTACCCTTATCCCCGTCGGCCGCTGTTGATCTCTACATCACTATTCCCGGCTTCTACTCCCACTACGTCAAGTTGAAATTCGGCGGAAATCATCTACAGATCCACGAACATCTACCATTGGCCGCATATATGATATTCGTGCTAAAGACAGACAATCGCACCATTTTGCTGCACAAAAGCGAAGTGGTGAAAGCAAAGAATCCCAAATGGAAGGAGTTTTCCGTGCCTCTCTACGTTATACAATTCTTCCAACAAGGAGCTCTGCAAATTTTCTGCTACAACCAGAATGTTAATGCGGCAGATACACTGATTGGTGAGTTCCTAATTTGCGAATCCATGATTTTTTTGCCCCGTTATTTCTTGGTTTCAAGGTTTTTGCAACACATCGATGACTCAACTAGAGCGGGGGCCTGGTGCGCAGAACTCATATATGGTAACATAATGCAGTTTGCTTTTTTTGTATATCGCTATACGCATTCTTTTACAGCTGATGAACTTTGAAGGGAAACGCATGCATGACAAAATGTCCGTCGACTTAGAGTTAATGGAACTCGTTCAAGGAGAATCATTTTTCAACGCAGTGAAAGAAGGGTAGGCTGATCTCTTGGCATTTTTTCTAAATTTTCTATTTTCCATTTATCTATTAAATAGGGTCAGAGTCTATTGCACAGATCAATGTTGTAGATTACTATTACTTTGGGTAGCACAAATGCTAATTAGAGTAATTTTCTCTTCTTCACCATCCCCGGTCAGATTGAGGTAAAAAATGGTTATGGATTGTATTCAGCACCCAACTTCACCTCACTATGGCCATAGATTTATCGGCTTCGAATGGTAATCCAAACGAACCTGGTTCCCTACACTTCATTCATCCGCACACACAGAGTCCTTATTTCAATGTTATGCTTCGACTGACACCATTGTTCCTCAGCTACTCGGCTAATACAAGGATAGGTAAGATGCTCTAGGAAGTTGGTTGGTTGAATTAAGTGAGGACTTTTAGGTGCACTTGGTTTTGGCGCACGTACACAGCCTCGATTTGAGTTGTCGCAATGTTTTCCACTGGTGAGCACTTATGTCTGTTGCTAGTGTGCACTCGCTTGCTCCATCTGTTGGGTCTATTATCTGACTAGATGTTCTTAGGCTTTTTCCTTATCCATTTCACCCCTTATCGCATCGTGTTCATGAAAAATGACGAGATTTTTCTTCTGTCATTCGTTTACCTGTAATCCATCTTGATTTTTTATACCTTTTTTCAGACGGGCCCACAAGGTAACCTACAAGTGGACGGTATCAGAGGTTTGCTAGATGCATACCGTGCTGCCAGACTCATGGTGCAGCCATTTGCCCCTACTGAGTTCTCTGAAGTAATCTACCATGTGTCAAAGTGAGTTTCAGAGATCTATATATATCATCCTAGTTATTGGGTTTTTTGTCTTCTTTATTTCTTAACGACTCGTTTATACCAGCCTTAGCAGTACGAATCCACAACATTATCAATTTTTCTGTATCTTTTTGTTCTTGGTTCCAGATTTGCTAAAGCCGAAAGTAAGCGTCGTTTGGGTCTTTACTTTGTGCTCCTAATCCTGACAGATGGCGGCCTAGCAAACCCACGACGTACCATCGACGCCATTGTGGACTCCTCGCCACATCCAATGAGCATAATTGTTGTGGGGATTGGCAGGGTTCGAGTTGGCCTCTTTTCTTTTGATTGACGTCTTTTTTACTTGTGCCGTTGAACCCTGTTCTTTTGAGGATCGTGACTTCTCAAGCGTGAAGGCATTGGAATCGCCAGTTTTGAAACATTCGGATGGTCGCACCCTTTTCAGACAGGTTATAAACACAAGCTTTTTCGAAAGTGGTGATTTTTTGATCCATCGTCTTTCTTAGAACTTCCAATTTCTCACTGCCGACATGTTGGACAGCGATGAAGCCATTGCCCTTATTCCACTCCAGATCGCTCAGTGGAGGACATCCGTCACTTAAGCAAACGTTATTTTTTCATTTCACTTGTTGATCTTGTGTCTTCATGTTTTACCCTAATAGCATTTCGGGCAAATTTTTATAGACGGACCACTAATCTCGCTAGATATCATACGGGTCACTTTTGTCAAAATTCGTCTAGTTGCTAAGTTTCACTGCTTTGACACCTTGCATTACTGTTTTATCGAAAAAGTTAGGATGCTAGTTTTGCCGGCCAAATGTATCGCATGAGTGTTTTATGTTGCTTTAGAGATATAGCGATTGATTGTAGAGTTCGTTGCGGATGTGGCGCCTTTATAATTTGTAAATAACGGATTACCTGGATATAAAAAATCACTGACTGCCAATAAGTAGCGTGTAGGTAACTTCCATGTTAATAAAGCCTTTCATGGACTGTTTTCTGTAATCATGTTCACATTCAATTTACAAGTCCAGTGATTTTGATGGTGAAGAAGATTTTTTCAAGTTGATCTATTCCTGGTTGGACATTCTTATCCTTAGCCATAAAACCAAAATAATTTACTCAAACCTTTTGTTACAACACATTATTAAAATTTGATGGTAAGGTATGTTATTCTTGTTTCTTCTGATTGCATCGCAAAACCAGATGTTCTTCGTTAACGCAGAATCTCTTGATGGCTTTTTGGGTACACTTTTGTGGCCATTGAACCCGTTAATTTTGTGTCACTGATTCCACTAAAATTCTGATTTTCATCTTTTTTTTCTTGGAAATCGCAATATAAGCACTTACGTAAGTAGAGCGCTAGCTACCGTATGAGGTAACGTATGATGTGGAAGCGGTCGAACAGGTGGGATCTCGTCGGGTCTAGTGATGATTCCAGCTAAGTTTCGTTGATACATATCTATTAGAGAGTTAGCCTAAATTAAAGAACATTGGGCAATATTGGACGATTTTTGATTCGCGACCCTCAAAGCTAAATTGGATAACGGATTTTACTTTATACGAACTTCATGGTGCAGAGACTGGACACGGTTGCGTCCAATCAAGAAAGTTAGTGTCTTTGAGAGACACCAGATGGTTAGAGAAATGAGAGTGCCCGTAAACTGAGAAACGCAGATGGCAGTCCGCGAATGTCCGCAGTGCGTCCTGTCTCTGCTTGCGATGACTCGCATTTATGTGCTCCTATACTCCCTAGACTTACCTCATAATCATCGTCATCCAGGCCAAATGGATTCAATATGACTTGGCCACATTTCAACCATCCCAAGCGGAATGTGTTCAGCAACAAATGAAAAACAAAATTGATGATTAATGATACAACATCCCATTCCTTGCTCCTTAACGTATATTGATATGATAGCAATTTCGGAAAGAGGCTTGACATTACTCGTCGCATAAAGAAGAGTGTTGGACCACACCGTCGAGAATTATGCACACGTATACTGAGAAAGTGATGGTCTAAATGAACACTTGTAAATTTAAAGAGGCATAATGTGTTTGGGCGCAGAAACCTGAGTTGTTGCCAGCGGAATTGGTATCCAGTCATAGCAGAGGAGATCTCCAAGGTTTTGACGAATCCGAACCATCTGAACTCGTGCCATCCGTACAAATGACAAAATTGAAGTTCCTCTATGTCTTACCTCTTCCATGAAGAGGCCGAAATGTGCATGGTCCATGCATGTCTTCCGTCCTCTACCTCTCAGGTGCCTGAAGTGATGAATCAGATTTTTTTAGTTTATACATTCGGGAGATTCAGAGAAAATCCATAGGTTTTCTTTCCATATTCATCGCGAAACGGCAGGAATCTGATTGCAATAAAATGATAGTTTGAGGACGCAGAAGTTATTAAAATTAAAAGTTACGTTTTTAATTTTAACATTTTGTATCTTCTTGATATCTCGAAGGATTTACTGTTTGAGTCTTTAGAAACTAAAAGCTGGCTTCGCAATAGCTCTTGAAGACTTTCCCATAGTAAATGACCTCACACATTCAGGCGAAGATTACTTACTATTAGATATCAGCTATTTTGTATAATACTATTTTGTCTGACTTAACCTAATCTGTTTCTACGTAAATTCATGATTTCTTAGAAAACAATTAGGCAGTAGAACTAATTTTCTTCCTTTTTTAAGGTAGTTCTTCACGCGACGATAAGTTCTCGCAGATTCCCCTCATTTGAAATTTGATTTTGCAAAACTTGTAGTAGTGGCCATTTCAAGACGGTAAAGCATATTTTTGTATTTGAGCTGCAGAGCTTTAGGGACACTCAATACAGTTACTGTTTCATTTTATCTAATTTCAAAAAAAATCGCTAAAAGAATTCACCAGCTATCTGCAGATTTTACATTCACTAGAACTTCATTGCATAAAACCTTGAACACCGTTTGTGCATCGAAGTTTCTCGTCAAGCTATGTTCGTTAAAATATGGTACCATTATTATTAGGTTGAACCGAAAGTTCTGTCGCACCATTTTCAAAAAATCATAACTTCCTTCGGTCATGACGATTCTGCGCAATTCAAATTTTCCCTGAAAGCGTAAAGCACGTAGTTTCCAAAAGCTCCCTGGAAAGTTTCCGACATGCTCTGATGGCAGAGATAAAAATGAAAGAACGAGACCATCCGAAATTCGGAATTTTTGAGCAAGAATTCTAGAAATTCAAAAACAGTGCGATAAAATCCAGAAAAGCCATTATCCTAATTTTTCTTACATTTGATTACTATCTGAGTCAAGTTTGTGCTGATCGAGCCCTTCTTTCAAAAGTTATGATTTTTTGAAAAATAATGCCGAAAAATCAATTTCCTAAGAATTCTTAAGAAATGGATTTTCTGGCATTATTTTTCAAAAAATCATAACTTTTGAAAGAAGATCTCGATCAGCACAAACTTGACTCAGATAGTAATCAAATGTAAGAAAAATTAGGATAATGGCTTTTCTGGATTTTATCGCACTGTTTCTGAATTTCTAGAATTCTTGCTTAAAAATTCCGAATTTCGGATGAACTCGTTCTTTCATTTTTATCTCTGCCACCTGAGCATGTCGGAAAATTCCCAGGGAGATTTTGGAAACTACATGCTTTACGCTTTCAGACAAAATTTGAATTGCGCAGAATCGTCATGACCGAAGGAAGTTATGATTTTTTGAAAATGGTGCGACAGAACTTTCGGTTCAACCTAATATATCCTTTCTATTAAGTTATCTTCTGTCAGTTAAATTTTTCAAACAACGATCTATCCATACAAGGTATTTTATAATTCACTCTGTCGTTCGTCCTTTCGTCAGCTCTATTTCTCCTACACATTATTGACATTTTTCAAGATTACTCGGAAATTTAATTGTGCTGCGATTTACAGCGCAACTCTCTAGCTCAAAATAGGCAACCCACAAAGGTACATAGTATTTCTTTATGGTTTCGCTTATCCATGTGAGCGGAATCCAATAACGACAGTAATCAGGCTCAATGTTAGCATGTTCAAAAAGGTACAGTTCTGGTCTGAACGCCAAGTTACGACGATTGTACTCTCCAGACTGTACATACTCGGTTAGCAGCTGGGCTTTGACTAGATGCTGATAGGTAGGAAATTGTTTTTTCACGGCAATCGACATGTCTCGAAGCACGAGAATATGCGCCAATAATAACCAACGGTAAATAGAGTGACGAATAGCTTTGGAAGTTGCTGGTGGTAGCTGTAATAACTCTCAGGTAATAAAATTTTGAAAGGAAAATTTGTAAGCGACTCACAGCATCGTCTTTGAAAAATGTGCTAAACATCATGGCAATATTTTCAGGCCATAGCATCAATACCTGATAGATTGAGGTCCATCTATCTATGCAGGTTTTTGTGAAAAAACCAAGAATCAACAGCACGGAGCTCTGTAATTTACAAAAAATTCGTAACCGCTAAATTTTATGATACGATAAGTCTTACTGTGTAATGAAGTTTTTCCGTGTGTACTATAACACTGCAATAGTCTTTGTCGTATGCACCTCCCTGTAGAAGAATTTTTTGAGACAAAATGTGATATGTGCATAAAGAATGATGAATGGCTGTATGCTGGATGGATGAGCACGAATAAAAGGTAAATAACTCAAGTATATGCTATGTATACTATTGTAGCGCCTTGATTCGAAAGGTAGTGAGAAGACATCTCTCATTATAAACTTACTAGAGTGATGGAGCTTTAACTCAGAATTTCATGTTATGGGCTTTGCAAATTGTAATTCTGTTAGCAGCACAGATATGAAAATTAAAAACATAACAAACACGCATTGATCGCAGCTGTGTCATGGAATCATTTGACGTTAGCGCCCTTTATACCAATGTCAGTAACGATTGCGCATTGCAAACTGTCTCTGAGCTTCTTATGGGTAACGAAACCAACATCAACCTTTACGGGCTTTCAGTCTCACAGCTCATGACACTTCTCAAAGCGTGTTTGGAATGCAATATTTTCAGATGGCACGAGAGCTAATATGCGCAAGTAAGGGGGTTGGCAATGGGACAAAGGTTAGCGCCCAGACTTGCAGTAGCTTTTATGGCCAAGATCGAAGCGCCCATTCTAGAATGCCGCCCAATACTGTATTGCAGATGCATCGACGATTGTCTTATAATCTGCAACTCAAGCAGAAGTTGACAATTGCTATAGAATACTCAACGAACAATCTGCATACATTAAGCTTACCAGGGAAAGGCCCAGCGATGAATGGTTGCCATTTTTGAAAGTGCAGATCCATATATTCTCAGGCGCGCACGTCACAAAATGGTATCGCAAACCAAGTAATAAAATTATTCTTGTCCCTTTAGGTCAGCTCATCCGCATCAAATAAAGAAGGCAATCATCCAAAATATGTTCCGTACAGCCCTTGCGGTTTGTAGTGGACAAAAGAAAGAGCGGAGTCATTTGCGCTTGCGCGAAAAATTGCTGCCTCCAATGGATGTGAACATCGTGCCAGAACAGCGAGGAGGGGTGAAAACGTCGTACTCAAGGGACAGAACTTGCGCAGCTGAAATAATCTCCTTTTGCATCTCCTACATTTCCGATGAAGTAAGCACTGCATTTCGATAGTGTGTGAGGAAGCCCGGGCTAGAAATACAGTCACGATTGTGGAAATACCTCCAAATAATCTTAAGAGCATTTTGGTGCGCAATCGTATCTATGATCGCGGCTGCACTACACCCAATTGTATCATCTGCCTTGGGGGCAGGGCCGGGGATTGCATGGCGACGGAGATCGTCTATCTTATCACCTGCGCGAGCGCGGCGATGAGTGGATAGGCGAGACAGCGCGGCCGCTATGTGTTCGCATATGAGAACACTTAGATGGCAAAGATAGATCACGAACCTCCACTTCACTAGGCACTCACAGGGCGCTAAAACATGCGGAGACAAATTTCGACGTCACAGTGAAAATCTTAGCGCATGAATCACATACATCGGCCCGCAAATATTTGGAGGCATTTTGGATTCACACCAAAAGCCCTAAAATGAATCGTAAGGAAGAATGCCTAGCCATCACACGTGAGCTCGCTCCCTACTTGGGTCATATCTTCTGTCCCGGCGGAGACGTTATAAATAGCCGTGGCATATGCACTCAGTCACTTAACGCTCGCTCTGGCATTAGAACTCTATCGACGTCTTCAAAAGGTGAGTGCTTGGTTAGGTAGCTAATTACTACTACCGAAACCTCAGAATTTTGTTTGCATGGCTGCAGAGACGTTTGATCGAATAGTTTGCAAGTCGTACTGTCCATTCCAGGCTCTGAAGAAGGCGACTTGCCGAACCGTCAGCCAAGAAAGTGTTAACAATCTCTGTTCAAGGCTTAGAACCACAATTACAATACTAGAACATAACAAATAATGGCAAGCTAAAGTGAGTGATTACAAAATTCTTAGAATTCGGGCACCATTTCTATCTTTTGAAAGACAAATCTATTTTCTTTGGTCCAGTTTATCTTCATACTCACAACGTATATATATCTTCCAAGACTTTACAGAAAACTGGAAGATTACAAAAAGCTAGATTTGTTCGGCCGAAGTTTCTCCTTTCTAATCAAAAAAGCAACAAATCATCAAGCTAGGTCGCATTCAATGCATCCTTTCTTTCCTCTTTTTAGTAGCATTCTTTTGAAAAAAGCTTTCAAAGAGCTTCAAAAAGCTTAGAGTTAACAGATCGAGATCGCTCAGGGATCCGTCAGAGTTACCGATGTTGCCAGTGTTACCCATTTTACTAGTGTTACTCGTCTTACTTACTCGCCTTAGCCGTGTTACCCGTGTTACTAGTGTCATTCATGTTACTCACCATTCAATGAGATTGCATTTTAGAATGAGACTGTATTTACGTCATTTCACTACTCAACAGCAATAAAAGCGGTAACACAGTAACACTAGTAACACGAGTAAGACGAATAAGACAAGTAACTCGAGTAACACTGGTAACACCGGTAACACTAGTAGCAATGGTAACACTGGTGACTCGGGCACGAGTAACATCATGACTTATAATAACGGGCTAAGGGTTGTTTACGTCTTTTTGTGTATGTGTCTGTCCGTTACGAAATTCGTAGCGCGTGTTCCAGCCAACGTCCTGAGCCCAAATTTTGCGTAGTGCACGCTACCAGCATGAAAGCTCACTATACAAAAGCATGAGCGGATCCGTTGAGTGGATCCGTTGAAAATTGCGCGTCAAACGGATCCACTTGGCTTCTGTCCAGCAAATTTGGGTCCGTAGTACTACTTTTTGCAGAGTTATGGATATATTTGACAAGTTAATGTGCAAGCCATGGACTTTAAAAAGTGATGAAAAGTCTACTACTTTACGAAAACGGCGCCAAAAAGCATTGGATGTGTAAACGGTCAATTTTTCTAGATTTTACCTGATCATTTGAAAAGATTTTTGCACAGAGATGTAGCCCACCATTTTTATTGTCCTTATGGCGACTATGAAACCATGAAAATTTCAAAAACTTATTCAAATTTGCATTTTTTTCTTTTGATAAAGATTTCATCCACGCGAAAATACCGATTTCACTCGAAAAACCTCTAGGAATGAGTAGCTGTTTACGAATCATTCGTAATAGCCTACAGAGCGCGGTGAGTTTCAATCTAATTATTATGCGGGAATGAGTAAGGCATAGATAAAGTAGGGCCAGTGCGAGCCTCTGCGAAGCAGAGGTGACGCACTGGTTAATAATAATAGTAGCACTAGTAATATCAGTAAACTCTGACGAACTCAAGATTTTTTGGTCTGGATGATTTTGGGAGTAGGTTGTATATCGTTCAGGTTGTATCTAAAAATAGACTACTTAGCCATATTTTTTAAAGGCAGGCTCGACAATCTCAACCTAGTCAAATTTTCGCTTACCTGGGGTTATTCAATACGCTGATTTCGAAAATCCACTTCTGCGAGGTTGAAAACGGCGAAAACGAGCGTTTTTCAATGCACTTTCTTTCATAATTGGACGAGTGGAGCAAGGCTGATGATGCTGGATCGTTGCGGGACCCAATGGTTATAGCATTGCGGAGGGCAGCCTCCAGTGGTGAGGAGGAAATTGCCAACTCGTCCGGGAGCGTGTAAGATTGGGGGCCATTTTCTCGGCAGGGAAGGCATGCTGTGCAACCAGGATTGCACTGTTTTCATACTTGGGCGATAGGGAACCTATCGCGTTAAAGTCCGAGTTGTTGAGTTTTGCCGATTCACTGCCTTTAAGAGCTACCAGGAGAAAGAAAAGTTGTCAAACATTACACTCAACTGTATACTTCAACATTGAACCTCACCCGAGCCTTGATTGATTAGAAAAATAAGAAAATTCAAGCAGTATCTCCTGGTCACTCTTCCCAACTTGATAATCCTTACCTTGATGAAGTTATAGTAAACCAGTGTCAACAAGATGCAGCCAGCTTCCCATACCAGTAGCTCAACTGCCACTAATTTCCACACTGATCCACGCCATGCCCGTAACAAGCGCATAAATGTCAAACCTAAATTGGTTAGCGATATTCGGTTACAGAAACGGCTAAGAAGTAACCTGTAGCCGTGGCTGCTGCCAAGGAGTACTGAACTGTCATGACTGGAATGGCTACCAGCCAAGATGAGGCAAAGGTTTAGAATGGGGCATCATTCAATTATTTCAAATTAATTGCTTATCACGTCATTGGCAGATATTGTGCATATATGATGAACTTGATTCAATGTTTGTTTGGAATCAAAGAAGGTGGTCGAAAAGAGTAGAAGGGTATTATGTTTCCGCTTTTCATTGCTTTTTTTCAGTAACTTTGATGTCATGTTATGTAATAACAATGTGGGTTAATAGGCGAGTGAATCAAATCTTTATGAAAACAAATATGCAGCTAAAGCAAGAGGAAGCTACATAATTTCCTCCGCAAATTTTTCACATTCACAGATGGATCTCTTGAAGAAAAATGCTCAGGCTCAAAGTTTGAGAAAGCTTAGAATTATTATCATTTCTTTCAAAATGACCATACTGTAAATGGTCAAGCTCTTACCGCTAAAAAATGCCCTATATCTCTCGTTCTTGCAAAAAAAACAAATCAGATTTTTTTGCACGTTTACGCATTCAGATTAACTTTACGAAAATCTATTTTACATGCGTAATATCTCGTCAGAGCAATACTTTCAAGCTTATCTATGTACTTTTACCACCACGCGCTTACTTCTTCTTCGATTCAATCATTTGTGTAAATTGAATAAAGGTACAATCAACAGAGTGTTGAAAACACGTCATAATATTTATCGTAATCTGGCAAAAAATGGAGTGTAGATTAGTCTGAGATTGGAAAAAAGAATGTTGGTTCATCGGAAGATAGCTCATTAGGAGTACGACCAGTCAAAAAAAAAAGAACGTCTTCATAAAAGTTATGATGAAATAGAAATTTTTTAGTTTTTTTGCCATAATCGAATTTCATAAGTATTGTGGACATACACCATCATTTGTTATCAATTACAAAGTTTGAGTGAGTACTTTACCTGAATGATGTGATGGGATTAAATTCTTGAGATTAAAGAGCTTATCTCTTTTATTATCTCCCATTTATCTGAAATGACTATCCACAAAGTTGAAGTTGAATAAAATAGTGAGTGGGATAGAACAAAGAAAATGGTAATATCGCTTTTCTGAATAACATATTTTACCTTAACAACTGGTTTTGTGGTTTTTAGTATGAAAAAGAATTTGATAAATACTAATGGAACACAAGAAATTCAGTTCCTTTTTGTTCATTTCTACACTGTTTTTTCTTTCTACACTGTTTCTTTTCTGCACTTTTCGTGTTATTTTTGTCACTAATCAGCTAAGAACGAAAGTGTTTACGAAGTAGACACTTAAACTAATGAAGTCTCTTGCTGCTGATTTTTTTTGCCCACTCATAGACGCCTGAATATTCTTTAAGCTTTGACTAACAACAATAACTTTACTTTCAGTCAAAGGATTTCCAAATTTTCTTTGGACGCGGAAAACCTTAACTCTATCAAAAAAGATCCAGCATTTTTGCACGGATGCTATAGTACAAAATGGAAAAATATACAGCGTGTGATTAACTTAATTCACCATGAAAGAAAAATCCCCATGAATTTCAAGTACTGCTGTAACCCGATCTCAAACAAAAGAACGTGACCAAATTACATCATACGAAACATTTGAAACGTTATTTCTTGGTACTTGACATTCAAATAAAAGCCTAAGCAAGCATACTTAAGAAGTGAACACGCTATTTTGCGAAAAAAAATTCAGAAAGAAGTTTTTGTATCTAAAAATCAAAAAAACACCCTCTTCAGTTATAGTGCGGTGCCTTTTAAATATTCAACAGGCCTTCTAATTAAGTATTTATATTTGTTTTTCTTGAGTTTTTTTCAATGTTCCACACAATGACTATTGTTTTGTGCCACCTAAACGTGTATCACAAACCAAGTGGCATTCTGAAAGAATTCCGACTATAGCCTGACTATACTAATATTTTTGTAGTCAACACTCCACCTCGCAGGTGGATTATCCGGCTCGTTCTAAGCTTTTTATGTAATCCCGATATAGAAACGGACCAAGAAAACATTGTAACACCTGCTTTATGTCTACGCCATCCTTATTACTATATCAAGTACTTCCGCACTTTTAGGGAAAACGTGGGTTTTTATTAAAATACAGTTCGATGTTGTTCCTCGACTTAAGAGGAAGATTTGTTGGGTTTTTTTTGGATTATTGGACAGTTTGATGCATTTTGTTCTGGAAGAAGTATAAAATCAGCATTACAGTTTCAAGAAGTTTGAGAATAAGTTGACTGAGCGTTCAACCTATCATGCTTTTGAGAAGGGCACAAATGTTGACGACTTGGCCTAGGTTTTCGAAAACAAATTTTTTTACTTTTTCCATTATGTGTCGCTTTTCCTGGAAGGCTCCCACTAGTAATGCTTTATTCATCCTCTTATTTGCTCAGCTAACATGTGCACGCATATGTCCACAATCAAGCATTGCTGAAAAAATTCCAGCAATCTGAAAAGAATCTCAAAGGTGTGGAAAGCGATATGTGGAACAAAAATAAACGTACAAATATTACAGAGTTATACAAGTAACCAGGTGCAAATATGATTTTACGGAGTTTTCTGCAAAGAAAGAGATCGAAGTATAATTTGTTGTGACTGGTTGAAACGCAAATTATAATATTTTGAAAAATTGGAATTTTTATTAGCTGCGAAGACCATTTGTCATCTGCCCAGTTCAAGAGAGCAACTGCGCTTAATTGTTGCTTAGTTTTCAGAATGTTTTAATTTTAATTTCTGCGTTGAAGTCATTCACACTAAATACAGAAGCCGCTCTTCTTTGGAAAAATAAATGTTCTGGAGCTCCTTAGTGTTACAAATATTCTGAAAATTTCGTTGGGAGAGATTCTCTGACCTCATTCATGGTTCTCTGAATTTTTAATTTTCCGCTAAATTCGTCCAGACCTGTCTAGAAATCTTCCGAGGAAATTTTCAATTTTGCTTTACTTTCACTTTCTGCTGCAAATGCAAAGCGTTTCACTGACATCAATTAGAGAATCGTTTACTCTGGCTTCACGATGGAAATTGCCCTAATCGTCGTCACTGAGCGTTCGGCCAGGAATGGAAAAGGAAACGAAAGGAAGCTTTGCGTCATTCAGCTATTCAACAACGGTGCTGTAATTGTTGAAAAACGATAACTCTTACCTTTGAAAAAAAAATCGCCTCTTGATTGTTCGTCCAAGTTTCTGCAAAACTGCGTCAAGTGGAGTGCTGAAGAATTCCTTTGCAGTCGGAAATGTTTGTTTTCTCACGTGCAACTGGCTTAGTTCCCAGAGCATTGTTTGTCAAATATGTTTTAATGTCCCCCTTTGGGTTTCAGGTTACCTCCTACCTGGGCGGGATCTCGCTTATTCCCCCCCCCCCTCAAAACGGCTCCGGGGGCGTGGCCCATAATCTCAGTATCGGCTTGTGGTACTCAGTAGTGAGGCTAGCTCTGTTCACCTACGGCAATGTAATATGTCTACAAGTTATGTGCGAATTATACTAATTGGCCTAATGGCGGAGATCTCGTCCGCGTTGATATGCTACGACTCGTCCACGAAAATCCCAAAGGACACCGCGCACTGCAGTAATGATATGGTAAGTGAATGCTGATTTGTTGTGGACGAGTTCGCGTTGCCTCCGTGAGGTTTCTGAACGAAGAAGTTTTGGTCTCGCACCATTTTCGTGCGAAAAACAAGAGAGGATGAATAACTCTATTTTCTCATGAGCGTAGATTGTAAACAAAGTTCTGTTGAAAGGTTTCGCGCTTATTTCGAGCAGCTGTCTGGAATCAGATAACTCAAAACAATCACAAAGCCACCTAGAATTGAATTTCATGACAATTCTAGTGCATTCTGGAGAATTTTCGGACTGACCTTTCAAATGCCCTATTCAAAGGCGCATAAAAAACAATAGCGCACCTCAGGGGGTCTCCAAATTTCGTTTCCGTTTTTTCTTTGAGTTACCATGCGACAAATCAAATCTGAGGTTTTTTCGACGTTGGCAACGTGCTAATCCTACCTTGAATTATTCACACATTGGAGATCCATTGCACTTTCAGCTAATGAGAGGTGTCATTAGAAAATCTGTGGCGTGCTCAGACATCGTGCCTTCTTTCATCTTTGTGATGAACTTTTCATGCGGAAAATTCAAGAAAAAATTTGCGAAAAAACAGAACTTATGACAAAAACGATACGAACACAGAAAGCAGGGAAAAGTTCAATGGGATTGAGCCAAGTAATCCACTAGCTTGCTCGCAATCCATTCTCTACTAGGAAGTTGCTAAGATTATTTACACTCTGCCAGCGAAAAAGCTATTAACTGATTGTTAGCGGTAAATAATTGCTTTACTAACTTTATTAGCTTCATCAAGCTGTTTGCATATGTGTACGAAGTCTCAAAGCCTTTGGCATTAACAAAAAATTGAATACAAAAATTTTTTAAGCTTTGAATTAATACCTTGAATCAAGTTTTATGCTGTGGTCAAGTGATCGACTATGAGGAATGAGGCAGAAGGGATTAGAACTAGCAGAAAAAAAGAAATGTAATAGCGCTGCCATCAGTTGCTCATCTTCTAATCAAATCTATTTAAGCTCTGCACCTTTGAGGAATCTGGAATCTTGCTTTCTAAACATCATGTACAGACCTTTTACTCCCAAACAAACTTACTTTTTAGTACTTGAAAAATAAGTTTTACAGACCTTCCTTCCTCACTGAGGAGTTCCATCTATTTCCGGGGAAATGTAATTTCTTTCATTCTGTCTAGGGGCAGGAACAAAACGGAGCCTTTTGGTTATTTACATCTTCTGAATTGAAAACATTTCTTCTTATTATTATTGAACCCTACAAATTTGCCAAATTTTCTTCTCACCTGCCCTACCTCTATGGCCAGCTGTTAAGTGCAGTACTAATTATATAAGCCTCTTGACTCCCAGCTAACAAAGAACAAGAGATAAGCACAAACTCGTGAGGAAGCACTCGGAGACCCGCGTCACTACATATTAGACCAAATGCTTCGAAGTTTCGTGAAGCGTAA